TGGAGCAGCCAGACTTGAACCGGTGCCCATATGGGATGCTGGCACTGCAGGCAGCAACTTTTCATGCTATGTCACAGCGCTGGCTCCAGAAATGAAAATTTCAATAAAGGCAAACAATGGGCAATCATGAAAGCTAGTATTATTCTATTTTGCTTTGTACCTAATTTAAGAAACTAATGTTTTTTATTTCATTTTTAAAGATGTATTTATTTATAGAGACAGGGACACACACACACACACACACACACACGCAGAGAGAGAGAGAGAGAGAGAGATCTCCATCTGCTGGTTCATTCCCCCAAAAGGTTGCAACAGCCATCACTGGGCCAGGCCTGAGCCAGGAGCTTCATGTGCATCTCCAACATGGGTGGGAGGGGCCCACACACCTGGGCCATCATCCGCTGTTTTTCTCAGGCCGTTAGCAGGGAACTGAATTGGAAGTGGAACAACTGAGACTTGAACCCACGCCCATATGGGATGCCAGTGTCACAGGCTGTGGCTTTACCTGCTACACCACAGTGCCAGCCCCAGATTAATGTACTTTAAATAATTAATAGGTTATGTTCTGGGGCACACACCTTATAAAGAGGTAATTTTGGAATCCAACAACTGAAAGGGGTAGAGTAGAGCTGTAAAGAAGTAGTGTTTATGTTATTGAGGTTGAACTGGCATAGATGCTAATTCAGGTGTTACAACTGTAGGATGTCAAGTGTAACCCACTTGATAACCACAAAGGCAAGCAGATGAATCCAATCTTCTGTTATGAGTGCTAGACCTGAGCACTTCTGCCTCCTTAGGGCATCTGGCCTACTACGGGGCCTCCCAAGTGGGCTCTTACCCATTCCAGCTTCTGCACCATGTATTATCTTTTCATTTCCTCCCGTCTCATTCCCGAGCTAACTCTGTACTTCTGTATTTGAGCACAAAAGTGTCCAGGGCACTCACTGTGGAGGGAGCAAGGAAGAAGGCAATCTGAGGAAATGAAGTAAGATAATCCAATGGCAACCTGCTAACCCAGCATCCTGAAGATTATTAAAAGGCAAACACACTGTTTGATAAATAAATGCTGCATATTGCTTGGATGTGAAAGAGGCAGACTTTTAGAATCATGTCATGTTAATCAGCTTCTTTAAATGGGACCTTTAAATATCTTGAAAACTTAAAAGTGTTTATGTATTTGAAAATCTCAATAAAAAGGCATCCCATGAACTATAAAAAATAAAATAAAATAAATGGGAAAAGAACTTGAATAGATATTTTTCCAAAGAAGATACACAGATGCTCAATAAGCACATGAAAAAATGCTTAACATCATTAACTATTAGGGAAATGCAAATCCAAACTGTGAGATACCATCTCACACTCAATAGGATGGCTACCAATAAAATCAGTAACAAAAGCCAGAAAAAATTAGTTCACAACTATGTGATAAAATGGGTAAGGAAAACACGAAGGTAAATTACTGAGAAGTGTTTGAGTCTAAAGCCAGCTTTAAAATAAAAAGTATTTCCTGATGTGGTTTCTCTCATTTTCCCTCCAAACATGGGGAAATGGGAAATTTACATTAGAAATCAGGAACAAGTCAATCTATTTGAGAGGATTTTCTAATAATTTCTTCTGCTTTCCATTGATTTATCCAGCAAGCATTGTAAAAAATACCTATTGTGTACCAGGTTGTTCTGGACTCAGGGAATATAGCAGCAAACAGTCGCTGCCTTCATGGACTTTCTATTCTAGTGGGAGGAGGCAGAACATGAACAAGCTAAGCAAAGACTTCCAGATGCTCCTTTATTTACAGTGGGTTACATGCTGATAAACCCATCATTGGCTGAAAATAACATTAAGCGGAAAACACATATTCAAATTTCATGTTGAAGGGCTGACTGGGGGCTGTGCTCACGTCCCTGCCTAACATCATGGGAGAGTATCATCCTTCACAACACTAGGAAAAGATGAACACTCAAAATTTGAAGTATGGTTTCTACCGAATGCCTACTGCTTTTGCGTTATCCTGAAGTAGAAAGATTATGGGTCAAAACATCATAAATTGGGGAATATCTTTATAATGTCAGATTGTAAAATTATGTGCAGAAAAGACAAGGAGGTGACATTTGAGCAGACACCTGAATGAGGTACGGGTGGGAGTCCCGGTGATATCTGAAAGAAGATATCGTAGGCATAGGGAGCAGCATGTGCAAAGACAGAGGCTTGGGGCCGCCAGCGCTGTGGCATAGCAGCTAAAGCTGCTGCCTGCAGTGCCAGCATCCCATATGGGCGCCGGTTCGAGTCCCAGCTACTCCATTTCCGATTCAGCTCTCTGCTATGGCCTGGGAAAGCAGTGAAGATGGCCCAAATGCTTGGGACCCTGCACCCGTGGGGGACCTGGAGGAATCTCCTGGCTCCTGGCTTTGGATTGGCGCAGCTTCGACCATTGCAGCCATTTGGAGAGTGAACCAGCGGATGGAAGACACCTCTCTCTCTCTCTCTCTCTCTCTCTCTCTCTTTCTCTCTCTCTCCTTCTGCCTCTCTGTAACTCTGCCTTTCAAATAAATAAATAAATCTTAAAAAAAAGACAGAGGCTTTGTTCCAGGAACAATAAGGGAGATGCTGTGACTGGAGAGGAGAACACGGGGGAAAGAAGTGGTAGAAGAAAGGTATCTGAGGTAACATGAAGTAACGTTCCAATGGGAAATGCTAGAAGACTCTAGAGGCAAAGCATTTGGCACAATGGTTAAATTGCTGCTTGGGCTGTCTGAATCCCATATTGAAGTGCCTGGTTTGAGTCCTGGCTACTTGGCTTCTCATCCAGCTCCCTGCTAATGAACATCCTGAAAGACAGAAGATGATAGTTCAGGTACTTGGGTCCCTACCACACAAGTGGGAGACCCAGATAGAGTTCTGGGCTCCTGATTTAATATTAGTTCTGCCCCAACTGTTACAGGTATTTGGAAAATTATGCAGCAGATGGAAAATATCTTTCTGCTTCTCTGTGTGTCTCTCTGTATTTCACATAAAATTTAAAATTAAAAGAGTAAGACACTAGACACATACCTACAATTCTTTGAGGATAAAAGATTGCAACCTAATTCTTTTTTTCTCATGTGTGAAGACAACAGGTGTACAACTCCTACATTCAAAGGTTCAGGAAATGGGATGTTCATATATAAGTATTCTTTTGAAAATATTATGTGAAGACATACATCAGGACACTTGAAAAACCTGAAAGAACAATGCACATAGTTCATGGCAGTACATACAAGTTATAAAGCAAAGACAAAAAACTAAACAGAGGCTGTGTTTCATGGCAGTACTTTTAAGCTGTAACTCACACCATCCCTGTTCTCAATCAACAGGAAAGCAGGAGACAAGTATACAAACAATTATACAATGGCAGTACATCATAGCATTGGAGGCTATTTACAAATAATCTTACTCAACTTTCTATAATTCTGTGAAATAAGAAATCATTCTTGGGGCCAGCATTGTGGCTCAATGGATTAAGCCTTTGCCGCTGCTTGTGACACCCACATCCCATATCAGGGTGTGGGCTTGAGTTCTGACTGCTCAGCTTCTGATCTGGCTCCTTGCTAATGTGTCTGGGTAGGCAACAGAAAATGGCTCAAGTGTTTGGGCCCCTGCCACCCACATGAGAGACTCAGATGGAGTTCCAGCCTCCTGGCATCAGCCTGGCCCAGCCCTGGCCAATGCAGCTGTCTGGAGAGTGAACTACAGGATAGAAGATCTATCTCCCTACCTCCCCACCTCTCTCTGTCACTCTGCCTTTCATAAAAATGAGTAAGTCTTAAAAAGAATCACTCCCTGTCATTTTAGGTATTGGAAACTAAGACATAGAAGCAAGCACTTGCCCAAGATGTCATAGCTAATAGGTAGCAAAGTCAGGAGGCCAGGTTTCAGTGTGTAAGTTTAACCTCAAGCTGTTCTGTCTTTAGCATGACTATGGGCATAACTGCTGGAGGCCTGTTCTTAACTCTAGGTGTCCAAAAGAAGATGAATTTTGTTTAAAAAATATTTTCCTATTATCTAGGGCTATTGGGCTTTCAAGAAGTTGCACAGAAATAGTCAATTCTAGAAGGGTCCTCAAGATGGATTGTTCCATGTGTTATTTTTGCAGGTTGATTTATTTTATATATACACATGCATAATATACAGTATCATATACTATATATAAATGTGTGTGTAATGTGTAGATATAAATCAAATGGAACATAATTCCAAACCACATACTTGTTTAAATCATTGAATTACTTGGACTTAGCTCCTGTTTCTCACTTTATTTCCTTCTGAAAATATTACTCAGATAGCTTTCTTCATCCATTTTGTTGAGCTAAAGTTGTTTTGTTATTGTTTACCAAAGATCAACTGAAAAATTATAAATATGTATACAAATGAAGAAGGACTGCCTGAGATATGAGGGGACCTCAAGAAGTTCATGGAAAATGGAATTAAAAGATAAGTGTATTTTGATGTGGAAGAATTTTGAAATCCATGCAGAGTTTTTTCCACAATACCCATTTTCTGTGAACGTTTTGAAGATCTCTGTAGACTTATGGCTGAGCATACTTAACTGGGGAGGGGGATATTTCAGGATAACCTTGAGTCATATTACCTTATGAGTGTGACACAGGTGTTCTTAGTAATGTTTCCAGGCAAGCCACTTAAAATGGATCTTGAGTGCTGATACTGGAAATGATCTAGTCTCCTGAATTCTTTCAGGAATAGTCACTTTCCTGTCCATATTTGTGTCCACCTTTATCAAGTATTTATGTTCAGACTGTACAGAATACAGCATTGTAATTAAGAGGACAAGCTCCGAAATCAGACTTCAATTAAAACCTTAATCTCCACCATCTCCTTGGGCAAGTGACTTAATCACCTTGCTAAAGCAGATTCCTCATTTGAAAGATGAAGATAGTTCACTTGTCAAGGGTAACAAGAATTACACTAATTAATATAAGAGGTGCCAAGATGTAGGTGTCACATCCTAAGGCTCATTCATAGTAGATATTGTGAATATTACAGCAACTATCATTCTGCAACACCATAGGGGATTAGACATGTTTGTTGAATGAAAACGCAGGCAACCGAAAGTTTAGACATCTTGCTAATCCCTGCCCGTCTAAGGGCTGTCTCAGTACATTGCATATCGTCCTCCCTGTCACCTATTAACCTGTCAAGTAAAGGAACCTAAAAACTCCAGGTGCATCTCCCTGTGAGGTCTGGGCAGTTTAACTGGAAAGCTAAAAGCGTTAACAATTGCCCTTCGACCCATTCGCCCGCTCATTTAAACTGTGCTTCTCCGCGTGTGCCGTCAAAGTTTGCGCTGAGCGCCGTGGGCCTGCTAGAGTCCACTGGAGGCTCCAGTTCTCACCTGCCCAGGTGTCCCTGGCTCCCCGGCAAGCAGAGCCACCCCAATCCCGTACCTGTTGAGCGCTCAGCGGCCGGTACCCGCCACTCCCCTCCGTCACCACCACCTTCGCGGGGGCCGCAACCGGCAGAGACGGACACCTGAAGACGCCTGTCATCTCCACTGGGCGCCACGCCCGCCGCGCCCGCCGCGCCCGGGAATAAGAAGTGCGCGCCAGGCGGCCAAGGCCGGACCGCCGGGCTGGGCTGCGCGCCGCGGGGCCGCGGGTTTGCGTGCGGGGCGCCGGCAAAGGCACTGCCATGGACGCGCCGAGGGACATTGGCACCTTCGTGGTGTGGGATTACCTGGTGTTCGCGGGCATGCTGCTTATCTCGGCCGCCATCGGCATCTACTACGCCTTCGCGGGGGGCGGCCAGCAGACCTCTAAGGACTTCCTGATGGGCGGCCGCAGCATGACCGCAGTGCCCGTGGCGTTGTCCCTCACCGCCAGCTTCATGTCGGCCGTCACCATCCTGGGATCTCCCTCCGAAGTCTACCGTTTTGGGGCTATGTACAGCATCTTTGCCATCACCTACTTCTTAGTGGTCGTCATCAGCGCGGAGATCTTCCTTCCCGTGTTCTACAAACTGGGAATCACCAGCACCTACGAGGTCCAGGGGAGCTGGGCTGGGAGGTGTGTGGGTGGGAGGGGGACTCTTCCGGCTTCGGGAGCAGTTTTCTCGGAGACAGACTCTCACACCCCACGAAACTCTCTCCCTGTCCACGTTCACCACCTTCTCTTTTTGGGGGGGAAGTCCTGGCTTTGCTCTCCTGAGCTCAGCGACAAAAGAGACTTCCAAAGTAAACGGAGTGAATTGCAATAGGGCTTTTTAAAGGTCCTGTCTTTAAAATCTTGGATTCTCACTCAAGGGGAAATATTTTTAAACTTTTTACTTTTTTTTTTTTTTTCCCGTGGGCTGAAACCTTCAGGTCTCAGCCCGTCTTCTTTGAGGTCCATCAGCCCCCAGTGCACTCTTTTCCAGGAGTGATGGTGAAAAATCTGCTTCCCCTTCTGAACACACCTAGAGACAGGCACCTAAATGATGTCTTTTGTCCCAGTACCTGCACTGGAAACCAGATGGTACCACATACCAGCCAGGTGACTGAGAGACTTACTTCACTCAACTGTTGTGCCTACTTCTTCAAATAAAGAACATAGTCACTTCATCCTGTTGTTGGAGGGTTAAATGAGACGATTCAAGGGGTACATGCTACAGAATAGTGCCTGGCACAGAAGAAGTATTGGATAAATGTTGGCCATGGTTCTTGGGGTGGTGGGAGTGGGAGTTGTTTGGGGACCACTAGCAAAATTCATGGGCAGGATTCTCACTCAGCTCTGGTATAGCTCTGCTGAGGCTTGCTCTGGGAAGATGATTAAGAAAACACCATTCTTCCAAGGCACAGTCCCCTTGGTTATAAGTTTTCTTGAGTTGTCTTGCAAGAAAGGGCTTTGCAAAGATGATAAATGTTTGGCTCAGTTTAAAGAATTGTTGAATGGCAGTGTGTGGAGAGAGTGGGGTGCGGGCTAAATCCCTAAGGAGTGGTAGGGCCCAGTTCAGTGCCCTAGAGGTCTCCTTTACCCTGGTACTGACCCATGAACCCCATGGACAAGGCCAAAGAAGTTTCCTTTCCAACAGGCCATTATCCAGAGGGCTCAGCGCCTCGTCTCAGCAGTCTCCCTTGTCCTCAGATTTACATGATGTTTTCTCCAATCCTTGGCTGCTTAAAGGTGGATTCCTAGTGAGGCTGGTTCAACTGGAGCTGAAGACAGGGCCCCATGGCACAACAAACACTGGTGACAGATTCTGCCTGGACCCTAGTGACATCATCCAGGGAGAAGCAGCCCTGGGGCAGCATTGCCTTCCACTCACTCTGATCACTGTGTTTGGGAGAGTTTGTCATCATCCCATAAGCGATGGATGGAATTTCTCTGTTTGGCTCAGAGGTAACCAACTGGCTGCCTCGGGCCAAATTCCGTCCTCAGTAGTTTTTTTTTTTTTTTTTTTTTTTTAACCTTATAATGTTTTGAAAAAAAAAATTAGCATTTAATGATGAGGGAAAGTCAAATAAAACTCCAGGATCTGACTTCTTTTGGATGCTCAGAAGATTGTTGACTGGAGATAAATCCCCTGTGGCCGCAGGAACTCCAGATTGCAACCACTGCTCTCAGTCTCCATTAATTTCTACGTTGAGAGCTTATCATTGCATTTGCAGTTTGTAGAGAAGTCTGTATCTGAATTTATGTCTTTATCCAAAATAGAAAATGAAAAGGGTTGAAGGGAGTTCTTGTTTTGAGGGAGATGTGAGAAAACATATTTCTTAGTAGATATCAAGAATATTCCAGCACACTAATATATGAACAGCTAGCTGATGTCAGGCATATAAAAGGGTACTTCAAAATGTTCATGGATAAAGCAAAAAAAAGTTCATGGGCAATTGGGATTAAAAGATAAGTTTACCATAGCACTAATTTTTTTTGAAATTCATACATACACAAAGTCTTCACAAAGCTCATGGGAAATGTGTATGATATAAAAACTGTGAATGGATTTCAAATTTTTGGCATCAAAATAAGCTTATCTTTTGATTATATTGTCCACATTTTTTTTTTTTGAAGCCCCCTCCTATGTTATCTGATGAGACCTTGAGGTATTCCAGTACGTGAGCTCTGATCTGTAGTTAACGAACTCGAAAACTTGGAAAGGGTTTGAAGAATCTGGCAAGAGGACTTCAGTCCCCACAGATGAACACTGCTCTCATAACCACTGACCCGACCTTCTTCGGGGCTACAACATTAACTCAAGCAGAAACAGATTTCTCACAAGTTTCCAGTGATTAGCTAGAGGCTGTTAGCAGGCATTCCAGATGGTAAATGCAAAAAGCTAATGTTTGTGGAATGCTTTATAGATACCTGGCACTGGGCTGCCTGTTTTACATACGTTCTCTGACCCAACAGTCAAAACAATCCTTAAGAGGGGGTACTGTCAGAGTCCCTTTTTGCAAAGAGAGTACGTTAAGCTGTTAAGAGATTATGAAGCAATGTAGACACAGGCCTAGCAGCATACTTCGTGCCTCTCAAAGCTCTGGTGAATCTATCAAAACCCTGATCTTATACCAGTGCAGAGAGAAGAAGGAACCGATGCAGAACACATAAAGCTGTGGGCACATTGTGGGTGGCCACAAGTTGGGGTACCAGGCAGTTGGGGCATCATACCATGCCGCTATCAACCGACCGTGGCAAAGACTTTCTTGTGGAATATTTTCTTTCATGTTTTACACTGAGAGGTGGAGCTGCCATGTAGAATAAGCAGTTCAGCATTGAGCGATGGGTACCTTGGCATTCTTGCTCACAGATTTACATTTCTTTGACTAATATTGCTAAAATTGGCTGTTCACGAGCATCTTATTTCTATTTATCACTGATTTTGAAATATAGGCCAGATAGGTATTTAGCAATTTCCAGACCCACAGACTAACAAGAAGGATTATTCTTTTTTTTTTTTTAATAGGCAGAGTGGACAGTGAGAGAGAGAGAGAGAGAGAGAGAGAGAAAAGGTCTTCCTTTGCCGTTGGTTCACCCTCCAATGGCCGCCGCGGCCAGCACACTGCACTGATCTGAAGCCAGGAGCCAAGTGCTTCTCCTGATCTCCCATGTAGGTGCAGGGCCCAAGGACTTGGGCCATCCTCCACTGCACTCCCGGGTCCACTGCACTCCAGCAGAAAGCTGGCCTGGAAGAGGGGGGGCAACCGGAACAGAATCTGGTGCCCCAACCGGGACTAGAACCCGGTGTGCTGGCGCCGCAGGCGGAGGATTAGCCTAGTGAGCCGCGGCGCCGGCTAGGATTATTCTGTGTCCAGCTAAATCTGTGTGTTTGTACTGAGTTACTCAGACCTTACATTTTATGCAGGCATTTATTTAAATCCATACAGGTCTTAGTGCCCCTAAACTATTCAAAGTGCTGAGGGTTATAGGAGAGCTTGGTTGACTATAGGCACCTATTTTTATTCTGCAGTTTTGTCTGCAAATCCTAGTTTAGTTTTAGTTCTAAGCCTACTATATAGTTACTTGGGCTTCTGGTTAGGCCTCAAAGTTATTCAACAGCCTTATAACTGCTGATGCGTGAGACAATGATAGATTTCTTCACTTGGTCTTGAATTATCTTAAGCTCCTAGGTTTTTTCTAGATCAGCTGATCATGGGGGGAAATTACATATATATAAAGGGGAGTCAAGAAATTCATGGAAAAATTAAATTGAAGGATAGTTTGAATTTTCTATGAACTTTTTAGAGTTCACTCATGTATGTGTGTGTGTGTTTGTGTGTACACACTATTGGTCTAACTGACTACATTCTTACCTTGGTCACATTTTTCTTTTAAGAGTTCTTTAGCCTCTAGTGATTTGGGTATGTGTACCTAGAAAAGGCAGACTGTGTCTACTCATGGGCATTCATGTGTAATAGAGATTTACTAAAAGAATTCTAAAGAAATAACACTTTTCTGCTTCCAGGTTCTGACATTTCTCCAGTCTTCTAAAAAACCTTCCAAAATATCCTTGAATGATATTGACACATATCATTCACTGAGTTTCTCAAGGCCCATGGATTTAGATACCACTAATAACTTGCTTTCGACTCAAAAGTTTACAACATTTACCCATCTATTTATGTCATTGAATAGTCCCCAAAACCCTGGAATTAAGAGGGGGAAAATTATTACCATGGTCCTCATTTTCCAAGGAAAAAACCTTAGATTTGGAGAGTGATTGCCTCAAGCTCATGGAATCTGGAGTGGGGCTGGGTCAAGGACTGGAACTCTTCTCCCAGTGCTCTGCAATGCTCTGTGTTCTTGTCACTCATTAGTTTTTTTTTTGCAGGTCCAACTATGTGTCATTGCTACCTACTCACTTACTCAGTTTAAGCACATGGTTCAGATTGTTTACTCATTAATGTGGTTATGTGCACAGATTTTAGCATCAATGGCTTTACATTTGTGTTGTGACCCTGTTAGTACTTAGGTTGCAACCTGAAGGTCTTCTCTGAGTCTCTGTGTCCTCATCTCTAACATGGGCTTGAATATAGAGTTGTTGGGGTGACAATGAACACAGTAAATACTCCAAACACATTAGCTTTGACTGTGCAACAAAAATATCAGATGTCTTTCCCTCTATTACTTAATGCCAGTTTTTTCTTCTTCCTTCTTCTCTGCTGTATGAAAAGACTATTGTTAGCCTTAAACTATTCTCTACATGTGGTAAGTTAAAGGATGTCTTGGATTCCAGCTCTGAAATGCTAACTCTGAAATATATGATGATAAATAGAACATAAGCAGGTCATTATTTTAAGGTACAACAGATTTTCAGGACATTAGAAAGAATTGGCAGTGTTATTATCTATGAATAAACTGATTTGGGTGATTTTAATTAAAAAATATGTTGGAAGGATGTGAGGGTTGCTCATAGAATAGAGTGAAAAGCTGACTAAGCAGGCCTTGGAAAGGACAGATGTCTTCTGCTTCATCCCCATCAGATTCCATCTGCTGTGGTCATTTTCTGTCTTCATATCTTGCCTCTAAGTTCCAAATATCCATTGGCAGAAGCTGATTGGCTGACATATGGACATATGTCTTCCTTTCCTCCTGGGTTAGAAGTCAGGGCTCTGACAATTCCATCAAACTTGCCTACATCTTGAAAACGTTGATTCCCTAACTGAATCAAGAGGAATCAGGTGGTAACAACAGATTGCTCACTCTAAAAATGCAGAATATAATTCCATTTATGTGACAATCTGTAAAAGGCAAAGGTAGGAATAGGGAAAGAGCAGAGATTACTAATGTTTGGGGATGGAAGGAGGGCTTGACCGCCAAGGAGAAGCATGAGAGAGTTTTCTGAGGCACTTGCACTGTTTTGTGTCCTGATTGTCATGGGGGTTACACAAATTTATATGTGTGAACTGTACTCCAAAATGAGTCAATATTGCTGTATGCAAATAAAATAATAGTTAAATAAAAATACATAATACAAATCAGTTACAAAGCTGCTTTAAATCTCTAATACTTTACTTCTTAAGATGCTGGTTATAAAAAGTGTCCAGAGGATTCTCATAATAACTATTTTTACCCTTTTGGCAACAGTATTTAGAACTTCGATTCAACAAATGTGTTCGTCTCTGTGGAACAGTCCTCTTCATTGTTCAAACAGTAAGTAACTCACTATTAGTTTATCCTCTATTCGACAAAAAAATTTTTTTTGACAGGCAGAGTGGACAGTGAGAGAGAGAGAGAGAGAGAGAGAAAGGTCTTCCTTTGCCGTTGGTTCACCCTCCAATGGCCATTGCGGCTGGCACGCTGAGGCCGGCGCACCGTGCTGATCCGAAGGCAGGAGCCAGGTGCTTCTCCTGGTCTCCCATGTGGGTGCAGGGCCCAAGGACTGGGGCCATCCTCCGCTGCATTCCCAGGCCACAGCAGAGAGCTGGACTGGAAGAGGAGGAACCGGGACAGAATCTGGCGCCCCGACCAGGACTAGAACCCAGTGTGACGGTGCTGCAGGCAGAGGATTAGCCTATTGAGCTGCGGCACCGGCTATCTGAAATACTTCTAACCATGTCATCTGGGTTCTTCTTAATTGGGAAACACATGAGAGATAACAAAGAGATTGAAAATATGAGAAAGCAAAAAAGGAAATACACTTGTCACTAAATAGCATTAATGTTTAAGATAATTAAACAGTGTTTCAGCAATGCTTTGTTCCCTGGAAAAACGATTGAAGCAAGAACTAAATATTATATTGATCAAGCAACAGATATGTTGTGTTAAGAAAATATACCTTTTCCGGGGCCGGCGCTGTGGCGCAGTGGGTTAAAGCCCTGACCTGAAGCGCCAGCATCCCATATCGGTGCCGGCCTAGTCTTCCTGGCTGCTCCCCTTCCGATCCAGCTCTCTGCTATGGCCTGGGAAAGCAGTAGAAGATGGCCCAAGTCCTTGGGCCTCTGCACCCGCTTGGGGGACCCAGAGGAAACTCCTGGCTCCTGGCTTCTGATTGGCACAGCTCCGGCCATTGCCGCCAACTGGGGAGTGAACCATCAGATGGAAGACCTCCTTCTCTGTCTCTACCTCTCTCTGTAACTTTTTCAAATAAATAAAATAAATCTTTAAAAAAAAAGGAAAATGGACTTTTCCCTTATACCATTTTCTCTGATCTTGACCAGGGTAGCAGACATTAAAGGTATTTCAAGGAGACAATAATTGTGGGGACTTTGGTAGCTGATAATAGGAATTCTTACAAAAAAGAAAACAAGTTGAATACTTCACAGTATTTTTGAAACATGTTGAATTACAAGTCTGAAAATCTAATGAGGAGTTAGGAGGATGACCTGTGGTCATGTTTTGAAAGCTTCAACTCAGACAGAATAATGATCGAAAAATGACTGTATACTAATGACAAAATAATGACTGAAAAGGTAGCTTGATTTTGCAGGAAGGGAAATTTAGCACTTTCCATTTGAAGTATTTATGGTGCGTCCATAGATCTAAACATGTAATATAATCACACATGCAAATAGTACACGATGTAGTTTTTGCACAATATGTTTTTACAGAGAAATCATAGAATTAGTTAGTTCCTATGTGATATATTTGAATGATAAAGTTTAATGGAAATGATATTTCGAGAAAAAGACTGCACTTATCTTACTGTTATACTTCAGATCAACAAGTGTTTATCAGATGTCTAGATGAAAAATAAGTGAAAAAAATGGTGGAATATAATTTTTTTGGATTTTAGGTTTTTTTTTTTTTTTTTTGAAGCATGATCTCTAGTTCTTGTAACTGTGACCTTATTTGAGAACAGTGTCTTTTTTTAAATTTATTTGACAGGTAGAGTTATAGACAGTGAGAGAGAGAGATGGAGAGAAAAGTCTTCCTTCCATTGGTTCACTCCCCAAATGGCCACTGTGGCCAGCACTGCACCGATCCAAAGCAAGGAACCAGGTGCTTCCTCCTGGTCTCTCATGCGGGTGCAGGGGCCCAAGGATTTGGGCCATCCTCCACTGCCCTCCCGGGCCACAGCAGAGACCTGGACTGGAAGAGGAGCAATCGGGACTAGAACTGGCATCCATATGGGATGCTGGCGCCACAGGAGGAGGATTAACCAAGTGAGCCATGGTGCCGACCCCTGGATTTTAGGTTTCTAGTGCAAATTTATACGTTTGTTTAAATGATGGTCATGCAAACTTTTAAAAAAACACTTCAAAAAATTACGGTTTCTCAATTACACAGTGATTAGTTTGAAGATATGATTGAAGGGCAGTTCTATTTTAAATTTATATTCTTTTAAAATGTATTTATTTACTTGAAAAGCAAAGTGATGGTAGAGGGAGATACAGAGAAACAAAGAGAACTTGCATCTGTTGGGTCACTCCTCAAGTACCCATAGTTGTCAGAACTGGACCAGGATAAGGCTAAGATCCAGGAACTCCTTTTGGGTCTCCCATGTGGTGGCAGGGACTTGGGCTATCATCATCCAGGATGCTGGAGGAGGCAGGGCTCAAAAGAGGCGCTCACGTATGGGATGTGTATATCCCAAACTGCGGCTCAACTTGCTGAGCCACACTGCCTGCCCCTCTTTCTTTTTTTTTCTGATTGTTTTAGATTAGGAAAATTGATTTCAAGCTTGACTTGGTGAATCAGTGACCATTTACACGAAGTACCACATGAAAAGTCTGTATCTTTATACAAAATTGATCATGGGAGATTTTTGTAGCCTATGACCAAACCACAAGCAGACCAGAGTCAACGTTATTATATAACATTTTCAAGTTACAAAAAAACAAAATTTAAATGTATTAAAACCGTAGCTTTAATTCATAATTGAATTTATAGAAAAAAATCAATATTTTATAATTCAAATACGTAGTTCATATAATTCATCTGACTTTCTTTTCCCCTCTAGATTCTGTATACTGGAATTGTGATTTATGCCCCTGCCCTGGCTTTAAATCAAGGTACATTTTAGAGTTGCTAATTATCTAACTTACATTTGGGGGATGATTTTCAGTTAGTTTTATTCTGTCCTTGGGAGGTGGGAAAAATGCTTCCAGTAACTACATCAGCTTTACAAGGAGGGCAGAGGGGGTTCAGTGGCTACACCCGCTTCTTCGAGTTTCTGGATGGACAGCTCCAAAACATCTGTAGATTAGTAGAAGGCATGACCTCAATAGGTAGTGTCCAACAGCCACTCTCCAGGCCTTCAGAATAATGCCCCCTGTCATCTAAATCATGAATGACTACACTCTGTCCTATACAATTCTGATCAGATCTATTGTAAAATCTAAAATGGAAGGGAAAAAGGGCCGTGCGATTTGATATATCAGACTGCTCCTCGTGACACAAGGACAGATGACTGTGATGTCCTTAGAAATATATTTATGAAGATTATGCTTTTTTAATTTTAATTTTTAAGCAACTTATTAATATATTATATTCTCAGGGTCACAGCAAATGCATGATAATTACTACAACAAAATTCTTTTCAATTCTCATGATAGTGTGTTAATACAAAGAGAACAGAGTCCATGTAATTCACAGGTACAATTCAAGAATATAATGATACTTCTCTTGCTCCCTCCTCCTTCCTTCCATCCCTCCTTTCTTTCTCTCTCTTGCTCTTTCTTACAAAGATTATGTTGATCAATAAATCACCTATACTCTTCAGATTTGGGCATTTAAGAGCAGTGTAACAGGGATACTTTATTGAGGCAAAGGTTTGTGTTAGTAATATCTTCAAATGGCTTTGGGGAAGTCCTAACTCCTTTGAAGTCTTATCAGTTGGAAGTGAGTTTATCTCTACAACTTCCTTGTAGACTGGACAAGTGGACTCTGTGATGGAAAGAATGTGGTACAGTTCCTGGAGTTAACATAAGATAGAGAAAACCCGCTAATTCTATACTCTGATTTCTTGATTTTATGATAGATATGATGGTAATTAACACTCAAGAATACAAACTATAACAGTATTATTACAAAGAAGAGCTCCATTGTATAATGTGCTCTTGAACTCTCAATTCAAGACATGTTTCATTGTCAATGTTACAAACATCAGGAATGAGTCATTTCATTTCTCAAGAACTGAGCTATAAACTTCATAAGTTACCTATTGGGTTTAAGTGTAATTAAAGATGTTAGAGTTTTAAAGTACAATTCTGGGAGTAATCAAAACACTGGCTTCAATCTGTGAAGAAATCAAGCATTCTGTTCTTTTTTTCTTATTTTTTTAAGATTTATTTTATTTATTTGAAAGGCATAGTTACAGAAAAAGAGGGAGAGAAAGAAATCTTTCATCCTCTGGTTCACTCCCCAAATGGCTACAATGGCCATGGCTGGGACAGACTGAAGCCAGGAGCCAGGAGCTTCTTCTGGGTCTCCCATATGGGTGCAGGGACCCAACCACTTGGGCCATCCTCTGCTGCTTTCCCAGGCTCATCAACAGGGAGCTGAACTGTACGTGGAGCAGTGGGGCACAAACCAATTCCCACTTGGGGTGCTGGCGTTGCAGGCAGCAGCTTTACCTGATACACACTATGCCAGTTCTGTGCTTCTTTCTAATAAACTCCCCTATTATCTCTAGCAACCACTTTCTTTCTGATTTTTGTCAGCAGAAATAAGTTTTCCAGGTTCTTTGGTTTTATATGAATAGAATCATATAGAGCTGTTTGGTATCTAATTTTACTTGGTCAATAACATGTTTTTTTGAGTCATTCAGGTAGAAACCACAATCATGTCCATGTAACTTATCAAATACAGTTTTAAACTCCACTTAAGCTCTAATTTTAGATAGGTGAGTATAGATAGAGGTGGGTGCCCAATAAATGATAGACATTTACCCCTCACTAATTTTTGAGACATATTTTCATTATGCATTTTCCTTCTACAGTTACGGGATTTGATCTGTGGGGTGCAGTTGTGGCAACAGGGATAGTCTGCACATTCTACTGCACTCTGGTATGTCAAGTTCATTATTTCCCCTTTTACTCCCTCAATTGCTTTGCAAGGTTGCAGCTCTCATTAGTTATGTGCTACAGACTTTTTCTTCATAGCTACTCTCCTACTCCTGACCTGCCACAATATTAGCTTTTTGGACAAAATATTTGGTCTAAGGTAGATTCTTATCTTTTGTAGAATATGGATAAAAACTGATTTTTTTTTCTTTGTAGTGGTCCTTAGTCCTGTATCCTGACTCACCCCACCGCGATTTTTTTTTTTTAAGTATTTTATTTACTTGAGAGGTAGAGTTACAGACAGAGGGAGTGACAGAGAGATAGGTCTTCCATTCCCCAAAGCTGAGCCAATCCAAAGTCAGGGGCCAGAAGCTTCTCCCAAGTCTCTCACATGGGTGCAGGAACCCAAGCACTGGGGCCATCTTCTGCTGCTTTTCCAGGCTATAGCAGAGAGCTGGATCAGAAGAGGGGCAGCTGGGACCGGAACTGGTGCCCGTATGGGATGGCAGCACCACTGATGGAAGCTTAGCCTATTAAGCCACAGCACTGGCCCCCCAATTCACCCTTACTGTTGATAGGTTATTACACCTGCATTCATATTAGTCTCAGCTTAGAAGCATGTGATAGCTTTCCACTGCTTAAAGGCAGAGGTGACAAAACATATAGCAACCAGTAGGACACAGAGCTGATATTTTCATGGATGCTGGTCCTTGGTAGTGGTGCAAATCTTATTGAATCCCTAATATTTTGGATCTCAACCCTTTAGTTATTGGATCTTGTAGAAGATGGGGTCCTCAGGCAGGGGCTGTTTCAGTCCAGAGAGGTCACAGGAGCCAGAGCGGGAATACTTGGGATGTTTGTGGCAGTGTCTAGTACAAAAAACGTTTAGTATATTAACAATCAATGTTACCTTCTAGGTGCTTACTGATTAAATACCAGCTTTGCTGATAGAATAAAATCATGATATTGACTTTTGGGATGTGACTATGAATTTTCATCCCCCAAATATCCACATACTACTCCACCTCATGCAAACATGTCTGATCATATTTAATATTCCATGTTCTTGGGCTTCTTTATGCTTTTGCCCAAGTTGTTTTATCTACTAGAAAAGTTTTCCATCTTGGCTTAATTAAAAAAATTCTTTATTTTATTTTATTTTTTTTTTATTTTTTTTTGACAGGCAGAGTGGTCTTCTTTATTTGAAAGTTAGAGTTAGTGAGAGAGAGGGAGAGCGCGCGCGTGCGAGAGAGAACTCTTCCATCTGCTGGTTCACTTCCCAAATGACTGAAACAGCCAAACCTAGGCCAGATTCAAGCCAGGAGCCAGGAGCTTCATCCAAGTCTCTTTAATGAGCATTTGGGCCATCATCCACTGCTTTCTTGGTGCATTAGCAGGGAGCTGGATTTGAAGTGAGGCAGCCAGGAATTGAATGGGCACTCATAGGGGATGCCAGCATCATGGGTGGTGGCTTAACATGCTGCACCACTACTCTTTCCCCCTTTACTTATGTATGGAAGCTTCACTTGAATGACTTTTCTATGATGGTTCTGCCAACCTGACAATCTCCTTTGAGTGCACTTCTTGGACAACATATATATTTTCTTCACTGTTGTTTAGTGATAGTATATAAGCATGTAGATACTTACTAATGTACAAGCAGTGATCTTAATGAACTTTCTCCTTAAAGGGTGGTCTTAAAGCAGTTATCTGGACAGATGTTTTTCAAGCTGGGATCATGGTGGCTGGATTTGCATCTGTGATTATACAGGCTGCAGTGATTCAGGGTGGATTCAGCACTATTTTGAAGGATGCTTATGATGGCAGAAGATTAAACTTCTGGAAGTAAGTTATTTATCTCTTGTTAATAGAACACATATTTTGTTTCTTCTGTAAAAATGATCTCTTTATTGAAACAGTAGGTTTACATTAGTCAACAAATCAACAAAACACTAAGGATGTGGTACTGCAAATTGAAGCTGTTATGTGAATGTGTAGGAGGTTTCCACTACTTGGGTAAGGGGTTAATCCAGTCAGATGGTACTTACCATCTGAGAAGGAGTATTTTCTTGCAGGTATTACAGTCTGGGATAGGTTAAAGGTGGAGTGAAGAGAGAAGTGAAGATATGGTGGAAGGATAATAAAAGAAAGCTTCTTAAGAGTCCAGTGCTAGAAGACAGTATTCTGTTTGACAATTCCATTTCAAGCAGTCTTGAGAATTTCTCTTCAGTTATTACCCTGGCTGTGTTATATAATTAATATATGAGTATTTTAAAAAGTTTGAAGAATGTAGAATCAAAAGATAAGTTTATTTTGGTACAAAAATTAGAAATTCATGCAGATTTCAGTGAATCAACTTCAATTGTTTTCAGTATTTTTTCTCTTTTTAACCCAAGATTCGGTTTCTATGGAAGAGAGTCCCCCCAGTTGGCTTATCTTGAGCCATTGTTACATCCCTGGCTAGGGAAGAGCAAGGCAGAGCAAGATATTTAGATTGATAGCCATTTATACTATTTAATCAAGAAATGCTAGTTACCAAAAGAGGGGAATGATACCAAGAATTAGAAACAACCAGTAACTGTTTTTGATTTCTCCCAGCTCTCTTCTTGGTAGGGAAAGCTGAGAAGAGAGGGCATGGAATCAATCATTTTTCTGCAAAATTGCTTAACCTTGTGTAGAGATTATATAAAGGGCACAGAAACTTCGCCACTGAAGTGACAGCTTATATATCAATGAAAGATTCTAAAAAATAAAAGGTTAGACATTTTTATGACCTTAGTTTTGAAGGTATTTAATGATTTAGTAATAATAATGTTTCAGACTTTTAAAGAGTATCCCTGTTGTTCTGAAATGGTTTGAGAATGAAGGGCAAATAACTAATCTGTTTCAGATAAATGTAAAGAAGGGGGATTTTTGAGTTGGTATTTTTCTGTATAGCCTATTGTTGGCCTATGCAATGTGTATGGCCTAAAATCATGAAATTAAATGTTTAAAATCTTGTTTTATTTCATTCAGAATGTTCCAGACTCCTTTTGGCTCTTGATTTCCATTAGCCAATACAGTGGCTAATATTTCTATAACAGAAAAGGTCACTTACTCTTGAAACTCTTAGACTTTGATATTAAATGTTAGGCAATATAATAGAGGCTCTCACATTTCCACAGGAATGTCAGGTTGGATGTGAAATCAGAATATCTTTCTCAACTGATCTCCAATGTAAGATATTTAAATGGGTTTGCAAAATTTTGTAGTTTTCAAAAAACAGAAGCTTGTTTTTCAGAAAGTGTACAAGCTCATGTCGTATGCCAGATATCAATAGATCCATTACTTCTAAAATGACACATTAAAAAACAGTTACAAAGTATTTCAAACATGGAAGTTGCGCCTTCTTTGTCACAATATTTTGGACTTATGTACATGTCATAAAGTGGTTTTGAACTATTAGTGTTTAGTTTGTGCATACAGCATTCTCAGAAAGCATGACTGTAACATGGTCATCACTATGAAAGAACGTGAAGGCAGGAAATCGCCTGATAAAAAGTACAAAGGAAATCCAAAGTAAACAATATATAAAAAAATGGCAGGGCCAAGTCATTACTTATCAATAGTTACCTTGAACATAAATGGCTTCAATTCTCCAGTTAAAAGAAACAGAATGGGTGAATGGATTAAAAAACAAAACCCATCTATTAGCAGCCTACAATAAACACATCTCACCAACATAGATACAAGCAGACTGAAAATGAAGGGATAGAATAAGATATTCCATGCTAATGAAACAAAAAAGTGCCTGTGTAGTCATAATAATATCAGAAAAAATAGACTTTAATACAAAAACTGTTAAAAGAGACAAAAAAGGGTACTGTGTGATGACTAAAGGATCAATCCAACAGGAAGATGTGACTTTAATAAACATATATGCACCCAATCACAGGGCACCTGGCTATTTAAAAGAAATGTTAATGGATCTAAAGGGAGACACTGACTGAATGAAGCACAATAGTAATGGGGGAATTCAATACCTCATTTTCAGCAACGGACTTATCAACCAGACAGAAAATCAGCAAGGAAACAACAGAATTCAATACTATAGACCAAATGGTCTATAGTGATATCTACAGAACTTTTCATCCTACAGTTGCAGAATACACATTCTTCTCACCAGTGTATGGAACTTTCTCTAGGAGAGATCACATGCTAGGACATAAAGCAAGTTTCAGCAAATTCAAAAAAATCGAAATCATACCATGCATCTTCTTTGACCACAATGGAATGTATATGGAAATCAACAACTCAAGAATATCTAGAACATATGCACACCCATGGAGATTGAACAACATCCTCCTGAATAAACAGTGAGTCATTGAAGAAATCAAAAAAGAAATAAAAAAATTTATGGAAACAAATGAAGACAACAACAATAACCAAGATGGAAATGGATCAGTAATAAAGACCCTCCCAACAAAGAAAAGCTGAGGATCAGATGGCTTCACTGCTGAATTCTACCGGACATTTAAGAACTAACTCCAATTCTTCTCAAGCTATTCAAAATAATTGAAAGGGAGGGATACCTCCCAAACTCCTTCTATGAAGCCTGCATTACCTTAATTCCTAAACTAGTAAAAGATACAACAGAAAAAGAGAACTACAGACCAATTTCCCTGATGAACATATATACAAAGATCCTCAACAAAATACTAGCCAATAAAATCTAACAATGCATCAGAAAGATCATTCACCTAGACCAAGTGGGATGTATCCCTGGTATGCAGGGGTTCAACATTCACAAATCAATAAAGGTAGTACATCACATTAACAAACCAAAGAACAAAAATCATATTATTATCTCAATAGATGCACAGAAAGCATTTGATAAAATCCAATACCCTTTCATGATGAAAACCTTAAGCAAATTGGGTATAGAAGGGACATTCCTCAATACATAAAGGCAATTTATGACAAACCCATGACCAGTATCCTATTGAATAGGGAAAAGTTGGAAGTACTCCCACTAAGATTCGGAATCAAACAAGGATGCCCAATGTCACCATTGTTATTCAATATAGTCCTGGAAATTTAGCCAGAGCCATTGAGAAGAAAGAGAAATCAAAGTAATACAAATTGGAAAGGAGGAAGTAAAAATATCCTTATTTGCAGATGACATGATTCTGTATATAGGGGATTCAAAAGATTCTACTAAGAGACTATTGGAATTCATAAAAGAGTTTGGTAAAGTGCCAGGATATAAAATTACACAAAAATCAATAGACTTTCTATTTATTTATTTATTTATTTTTGGATAGGCAGAGTGGACAATGAGAGAGAGAGACAGAGAGAAAAGTCTTCCTTTTTTTCCATTGGTTCACCCTCCAATGGCCACTGTGGCTGGCGCGCTGTGGCCGGCGCACTGCGCTGATCCAAAGCCAGGAGCCAGATGCTTCTCCTGGTCTCCCATGCGGGTGCAGGGCCAAAGGACTTGGGCCATCCTCCACTGCCTTCCCAGGCCACAGCAGAGAACTGGACTGGAAGAGGAGGAACCGGGACAGAATCCGGCGCCCTGACTGGGACTAGAACCTGGGGTGCCAGCGCCACAGGCGGAGGATTAGCCTATTGAGCCACAGCGCTGGCCACAAAAATCAATAGACTTTCTATACACAGACAATGCCATGGTTAAGAAAGAACTTCTAAGATCAATGCCATTCACAATAGCTATAAAAATTAAATATCTTGAAATAAATTTAACCAAGGATGTCAAGACCTCTATGATGAAAATTATAAAATATTAAAGAAAGCAATAGAAGAAGAAACAGTAAATGGAAAAATCTTCCATATTCATAGATTGGAAGAATCAATATCATCAAAATATCCATAGTACTAAGAGCAATTTACAGATTCAATGCAATAACAATCAAAATACCATTCTTCTCAGATCCAGATCTTAGATCTAGAAAAAATGATGCTGAAATTCATTGGGAACAGTGGAGACCCCAAATAGCTAAAGCAATCTTATACAACAAAAACAAAGTCAGATGCATCACAATAGCAGACTTCAAGATATACTACAGGGCAGTTATAATCCAAACAGCCTGGAACTGGCAAAAAGTATATGGATAGGCCAGTGGAGCAGAATATAAATGCCAGAAATCAACCCATGCAGCTACAACCAACTTACCTTTGACAAAGGAGCTAAAATCAATCCCTAGAGTAAGGACAGTTTCTTCAACAAATGGTGTAGAGAAAACTGGATCTCTGCATGCAGAAGTATGAAGCAAGAAATCTATGACCTGATATCATCAAATTATTAAAGAACATTGGGGAAACCCCGCAAGACATGGGCATAGGCAGAAACTTCTTGGAAAAGACCCCAGAGGCACAAACAAGCAAAGCCAAAATTCACAAATGGGGTTACATTAAATTGAGAAGGTTCTGCACTGCAAAAGAAACACTCAGCAAATTGAAGAGGCAACTGACAAAATGGGAAAAATTATCTTCAAACTATGCAACTGATAAAGGATTAATAACCAGAATATATAAAGAGATCAAGGAACTCCACAACAACAAAGCAAACAACCCAGTCAAGTAATAGGCAAAAGACTTAAACAGACATTTTTCAAAAGAGGAAATCCAAATGGCCAACAGACACATGAAAAAATATTCAAGATCACTAGCTGTCAGGAAAATGCAAATCAGAACCACAATGAGGTTTCACCTCACTCCTGTTAGAATGGCTTGCATACAGAAACCAACAAGCAACATATACTGGTGAGATTTGTGGGAAAAGGTACCCAAATCCATTGTTGGTGGGAATATAAACTAGTTCAGCCACTGTGGAAGACAGTATGGAGATACCTCAGAAATCTAAGTATAGACCTATCATATGACCTAGTCATCCCATTCCTGGGAATTTACCCAAAGTAAATGAAATCAGCATATAAAAGAGTTATCTGTACCCTCATATATATTACAGCACAATTTACAATAGCTAAGATATGGAATCAACCCTGATGTCCATCAATGAAAGACTGGATAAAGAAATTATGGGATATGAAAACTATAGAATACTGCACAGTGGTAAAAAGGAAAAAAAGAAATCCTTCGGGCCAGCACCATGGCTCACTTGGTTAATCCTCCGCCTGCGGTGCCGGCATCCTATATGGGCGCCGGGTTCTAGTACCGGTTGCTCCTCTTTCAGTCCAGCTCTCTGCTGTGGCCCAGGAGGGCAGCGGAGGATGACCCGAGTGCTTGGGCCCCTGCACCTGCATGGGAGACTGGAAAGAAGCACCTGGCTCCTGGCCTCGGATCAGCACAGCGCTGGCCGTAGCGGCCATCTGGGGAGTGAACCAACGGAAGAAAGACCTTTCTCTCTGTCTCTCTCTCTCTCACTGTCTATAACTCTACCTGTCAAATAAATAAATAAAAAAAAGAAGTCCTGTCATTTGAAACAAAATGGATACAACTGTAAAACATTATACTTAGTGAAATAAGCTAGTCTCAGAAAAGCAAATGCCATATTCTCCTTCTTCTGTGATAACTTATAGAGTACTTAAGGGGTAATCAATAGAAGTGAAATAGACACTTTGAGCTGTGATGACTTGGAACAGCCCTTGTCTCAACTGTTGAGGAACAGATTTTTTTTTTTCATGATGAAATCTTTGCTTAGTGTAGGATTAATCTTATGCATATAAAATTAATTGAAAGTAGATCTTAATAAAAAATAAGAATGGGAATAGGAGAGGGAGAAAGAATAAGAGTGAAAATACTGGTGGGAGGGAGGGTGAGGCAGGAAGAATCAGTGTGTTCCTAAATTTGTATGTATGAAATGTATGAAATTTGTATACCTTAACTGTTTCTAGGTAAAAAAAAAAAAGAATAAAGCAGAAAATTGAAAGCATAATTGTAATGCTATATGGTAATTTTAGAAAATGAAGGCCTTTGAATTGCATTAATTGACTGCCTTCTTGATCTTGAATAGAAATTAGAACTATGGCTTTTGTGTGATAGGAGAGGAATAATATATAAACAAAATGTGTTAGTTCAAAATTTGGTCATTTCATTACCATATCTACCGCTGTGCATACCTACTGCACTTAGGGATCTCCCCCACACCATGTGTGTGTGTTGGGCTTTACTCTGATTACAGTGTAACAGATTTGTGTAAACAACAGTTTCCTAAGACTATGGGAAAATGATTTATAGAAGTGCTTGGAATGATTACCATATTCTTTTTCTTCCAGTACTTTCTAGAATTTCTGTATCTCTGAAAATAATGATTTTTATGTCATTGAACTTCAGTTACAAGTATTTCTATAATTTATGCTGCTTAGTACTATTGGACATATTTATGTGTGTATGCAAGTGTATGTAGGAGAATTTTCATTGTTCTTTTGTAAACAATTCAGTTATATTTTCTGTTTCTTTTCATTTAGTTTTGATCCTAACCCATTGCAAAGACACACATTCTGGACAATTATTATAGGAGGGACCTTCACGTGGACCAGCATCTATGGAATCAACCAATCTCAAGTACAGAGATATATTTCTTGTAAAAGCAGATTCCAAGCAAAAATGTAAGTTGAATCATGGTGGATGAATCATTAATAACCATGAGCTGTCTTTAAAAATGCTTCTCTAAGTCACATTTATCTCACATTTATTTCTTTTGTATCATGAAATTCTAAGGCATAAATGATATTCTTGGTTACAAAAGGATTAGCAGAAAAAAGTAGTTCTGTATGTTTGTATGTTTTAAATTAGATATTTTAAAATATTTTTAATTAAAATGTTTTTATTTAAAAGAATTTTTAATAGACATTGAAAAACTTTACATATTTAGGGGGTACTATGAGTTATTTCAACACATATGTACATTGTGTAACATCCAAAGTAAATGTATCTCCTCAAACTTTGAACTTTTCTTTATATTGAAAATTAAGTAAAAACAAATCTTATCAAAGAGGAACTTATTATGCATCTGTTTGTGTTAGGACCTGCGAGAGATAAAAAAAATTATATATCTTTTTTCATGAGACCACATCAAATTGGGAAAATATATGAAACATGTGAAATGTGAAATAATAGAAAGATGTAGCAGATCCATAAAATAATAGAAGAAATGTTCCTAAGTATGTACAGTACCTTGTATTTTATTTTCAGATGCAGTCATGGGTTTATAACCCTGTTTAATACTTGATGCTTAGATGATCCTAGGAAAATGATTAATTTCTCTGAACCAGTTTCTAAGACAATAAAATCAGCATGAGAAATACTATATATCTCATGGAGATTTTATCATATACTAGTTTTGGCACACAATGGTTAAGGGTTCAGAAATGTGAATTCCTTTTCCCACTTCAACTGCTGTAATTTGAAGGCAGAGGGTAGGTGAGCGATCTCTGTTGACTCAGCAGAACAAGCAGAATTGGGGCAGGTGGACAGAGTAGGAGGCTATTCCAGGTGGGTAGAATGATTTGGACAAAAGTAAAGATGAAGCAAGAATGGCGTGGTCAAGGACTCTGAAGCCCATCTTGAGTTAAGTACAGAGTGGTTGCTGGTTCTTCTTCTGGAAGCTCAGATCAGCTTGGTGAACTGAACTCTCCATGCTGATAAATAAGGCTGGCTCTGCCCACGTGTGTTAGGTACTTTAAACAGATTGAGTAAGCATACAGGGTTGTTGGAGTAGAAGAAAGAGTGGCAATATTATATGCTGAACATTGTTCAAGAATAAAAGTCTCCAGGAAATAAAGATTTATAGTTCATTCTTAATGCATGGTCTTATAAACCACATTTAAACTTGTTTGGTGAGTTGCTATGTAGATGGTAACAATGTTTAGCAGTTAATAGTTGGATGCATTTCTTTTTTAAAGGAAAATGAGTAATAGTCAACTGCTCTGTTGACTATTAAAATCCCTATTTCGTGACATGAGGCCTTAAAGTAGTATAATTAGACGCCATTATAATTTTGACAATGCCCATGGGATTCCAACAAGGAAGATACACTCATTCTCTGGTAAAACATCATAAATTCCAAATATTTTTAGATACATTATTGAATGACATTATACACAAAAGATTAGACTAGAATAAAATAGCATTTTTGATAACCACAGATAATGCATATTTATTGAGTATAATCATGAAGATCTCTCATGTTTGTGCAACAATATTTTTAATCTTCAGAACAGAAATTACAACTGTAGCTTGTGTTTTGTTTTTGTGTCTTCAGATCACTCTACATCAATCTTATTGGACTCTGGGCAATCCTTACTTGCTCAGTGTTATGTGGACTCGCCCTGTATTCCAGGTACCGTGACTGTGATCCTTGGACAGCCAAGAAAGTGTCTGCACCAGACCAGGTGAGTACCATGCCTTTCATACATGTGCATTAATAACACTCAAAAGGCTTAAGAGTTGGGAGGAGCCAGTGTTCATGTTTTTGTTAAGAAGCAACAAGTGGGCAACATAGAATCATCATTAATTTTTAAGAAGTGTTTGGGAAAAATTTATTTTAGCAGATATAGCAAGGCTGAAGAGCATTGTATATAACATTAAAATACTGACATACCAGGGAAAACTTCAGGCCCAGTATTTAAAAGAAATACCTCAAGGCTGGGATAGAAATGTGAACATAATTAAACACACACTCACACAAACACACACACACACGGGGCTGGTATCATGGTATAGCTGGGTAAGCCACTGTCTACGTTGCTGGCATCCCATGTTGATGCCAGTTCATGTCCTGGCTGCTCTACTTTCTTTTCTTTTCTTTTCTTTCTTTCTTTCTTTCTTTCTTTCTTTCTTTCTTTCTTTCTTTCTTTCTTTCTTTCTTTAAGGGAAAGAGTTTACTGGGGGAAACCCAACAGACTGGAAGGAAGGGGTGAAGAAGGAAAAGAAGGAGGAGAGTGTAAGAGAGAGAGAGACAGAGACAGAGGTCAAGAGACAGAGAGGAAGAGAGAGAGAGCCACGTGTTCAGGAACAGGTCCTTTTAAAACTTTGCCAAGGGACGGGCAGGGAAGTAGGGGCTACTCCACTTTCAGTCCACCGGCCTGCTAATGTGTCTGGGAAACTAGCAGTAGATGATCGAAATGCATGGGTCCCTTCACCCATGTGGGAGACCCAGAAGAAGCTCATGACTCCCGGCTCCTGGCTTTGGCCTGGCCCAGCCCTGGCTGTGCTGCGGCCATTTAGGCAGTGAAACAGCAGATGGGAGATCTCTGTCATTCCTTTTCTCTTTGTAACTCTGTCTTTCAAATAAATTCTTTAACTATACACACACAGAGTACACACAAGCCATGATACTGTAGAATGTTCTGTGAGTGCTGTTAGATCACTCACTTATGAACAACTTATCTTCTAGTTATTAAATAGTAGAGAAGCAAATCTAATAATTGAGTGTTTATTGAACACCAATTATGTTATGAGAATCTATGCTAAGAGCTTTCCATGCTTTATCTCATTTAATTCTCACAACCCTGTAACCCTAATTCTATAGATGAAGAAATTAGTCCCAGAGAGGGTATCTAAATTGCCCGCATCCACATTGCTAATCAAGAAGAGTAACTGGGAGCATTCATCAAGTCCTTACCATGGGCCAGGCATGATTATTCAGTGCTTGATATAAATTACAACCTTTAATTCTCAACAGCTAACCTCTGAAGTTGGTACTGTACTTATCTGTCTTCCAAAGAAGAGGAAACTGAAGCGTAGAGAAGTTAAGTAAGCGATGGCCTGGTAAACCTGAAGCTAGAATTCAAATCCAGAACTGCCTGACTCCAAAAGCCTGAGTTACTGCCAAAATCATGTCCTCAGACCATCTTGTAGATCAGATGCGCAGTGGCCTCACTAGAATGAAGATAAGCTAAATTTTATATTGGTGCAAATGCATCTTACATTCCCAGAAAGATACAACTTTGTGGGATTAGAAAATGAAAATTCTTTTGAACCGTATATCTCAGCCCTACTTAAACCTATGCCCTCATTTGGATAAACATGCTTGCCCTGTTCTCTCAGAGGATCCAAGAGTCTCACTTACTCTGAAGATGGAGGCATGTTTCTATTATAGTCCTCCAATCAAGAGTATTTTGTGATTTTTTTTATCTTCATTGTCTGTAGTTTGTAGCATAGAGACAACAGAGATTTTAAAACTGTTTCCCTGTACCCAGGGTTAAAAAACAAAACAAAAAACTAAAAAGCTCTGCAAGTTCCTACCTTTGAGACTTTGTCATAAAACACATCCAGGGATGTCTTACTTGCATGCACTTAGCATGTCCCAAGATTTCCCCCCTAACTGTATGCTTCCAGTACCTTTTGTTAGGTAATGGGTTGATCCAATTAACATTTCACTGCAGACACAATGTGAGTTAGACGCGGTCAATGGGAGATCATGTAAAAACCTTACCCTCAGAAGAGCAAAGATAGGGTTGTGTTACCCTCTCGTGAAACCCTGGGGAAGCAGGGCTAGTGCCTACATATAGTTTAACTACTTTCCTGCCTATCTGTCTCAACTCATTGATTCTACCAATATCTGAGTAGTCATTCAAATATGAAATAATCACACCAAAGTTTTTGAGAATATTGAAGTTAGGGTAGAAGATTTTGGACCTTTTTATCACTAGTGATGGATTCTTTCCTTTTGCTTATGTATGGAATGTTGCTTAAAGTTAAACTTTTAAAATATCTTGGAAAACTTGGGTCTTGGTTTCATGTATGGAGAAGCACTATTCCCTCTCTTTTTTTTTTCTGAGAAAAGAATTAGAAAGCTTTGGAGAAAGTGGAGGAAAATATTCCTAAACCAACCCAACACAGATCCTTGACAGTAGAGAAGTTCTTCCATAGCCCATCAATACACTACTGTTCAATGAGATCAAAGAGGCTGTAAAAGTGATAATATATGGGAGGCCTGGGCTTTAACCCACTGAGCCACAACACCAGGCCCCTATATGGCTGCCAGTTCAAGTCCTAGCTACTCCACTTCTGACCCAACTCCCTGCTGATCCATCTGGGAAGGCAGTAGAGGACGGCCCAAATCCTTGGGCTCCTGCACCCACGTGGGAGACCTGGAGGAAGCTCCTGGCTCCTGGCTTCAGATCAGCTCAGCTCTGGCTGTTGCAACCATTTGGGGAGTGAACCAGCAGATGGGGGACTTCTCTCTCTCTATGTCTCTACCTCTCTCTTTCTCTCTGTAACTCTTTCAAATAAATAAAATAAATTTTTAAAAAAGTGATAATATGGCATGTTATACATTCTGTACTGTAAGAGAAATAGTCAATAATGTTGTGATGCAAGTAAGAAGACACTTGTCCACTTAGGATTTTTGTTTGAAAGCAAGAGAGAGAGGGAGAGAGAGAGAAGGGAGGGAGGGAGGGAAGGAGAGAGGGAGGGAGAGAGAATTCTTTCATCTGCTGGTTCACTTCCTCAATGCCCACAACAGCTGGAAGTTTTCCAAGTCCAAGCCAGGAACTGTGGACTGAATCTGGGTCTCACCACATGGGTGGTGGCAGGGACTCAATCATTTGAGCCATCACCTGCTACTTCTGAGGGTGCATATTAGTAGGAAACTGGAATCAGGAATTGAGCTGGGAGTTGAACCCAGGCACTTGGATGTGGGAGGAAGGCATCCTAAATGGTGTTTTAACTTCTGCACCAAATGCCTGCCCCAGGACTCTTGGTTAAAATAATTTTGCAGAAAGATTGGCATATATACAGTACTGAAATCACATACCTGCCCATTTTGATTTAATATTTATTAAAAAAATAAGTTATCAAAAAGCAAGTTGGTATCAAAGACTTTCTTAAAAGAAGCATGTTCCAAGGATTTCCTGAGGTCATCCTCCAACCACATCTCCCATTCTATGTGCCTAAAATTCCATCTTCAGTCTTGAGCATTGACTGAAGTTCACAAAATGGTCTTGAGCCATCTTGTAAAGAGGCTATTTCTTATTTAAGCACAGCGGTGTGTAAAAAAATTCCTTTAAAATGATTTATTTTTTTATAGAATAATAGCTACTTTTATTGAGCACTCAGAATAGGCTATATTCTATACTAAAAGCTTTACCTAGATTATATAAATTAACTTTTACAGCAACTCTATGAGATTGGTTTTACAAATTAAGGAATTTAGACTTAGAAAAATTAAATAATCAAAGCCAAATTTGAATCCATAGCTTGTTTATATTGAATATTTTGCTATTCATTTTTGTAAATGTTAGCAAAGAGTTTAGTTTTAGATATTTGGAAATTTCAGTTATGTAGGATATGTTCCTTCATTTCTGGAAGAACACAAGATACAAAAAGTATTAATTTTTATTCAATAGCAAGTAGTACTTGGGAATAAATTTTGGAATTTTTCAGCTCATGCCTTATCTGGTACTGGACATTTTGCGAGATTATCCAGGAGTTCCTGGACTTTTTGTGGCCTGTGTTTACAGTGGAACATTAAGGTATGACTCACGGTTTCCTTTTTGGAATCTTTCTTTTATTATTAGTTATTTTGGGGGATAGAGCTAAATTAACGAGAGTGGCACAAATTGTCCTATGTAGGCAATGCATTCTATTAATCTGACTCTTAGGCCTTTTGGCTAGCACACTGTTATCATCAGACATCACTTTTAATTAAGTTTCTACTCTTGAATACAACATTGCCTGTTCTACAAGTTCACCATAATGATGATCACTTGATGGTAGCTTTCACTGGTTATCAGAAATATGTGCCTACTGTTTTGGTTTAAAATAGGCATATGGATAAAGCATGGTCTGCTGGCAACTTAGGATTAAATTTCATATATATATATATATTGAATAATATATACTGCCTAAAGAATCTTGTGTTTTGTAATTGAACTTATTCCTTGCAGTTTCTTGCTGTGTTTGCCCCAGGGAATTATTATCCACACATCCAGCATATATTAGTAATGATTCAGGAAATTAATGTTGATATCACAGCATATGTTAGTGAAGAATTATGACAACTTTTTCTGTGTACAAGAAATAATGTTTTAAAGTTGTTATTTAATAATAACAATCTGCATAGATCCTTTTCATAGACACAGGATTAATTACAAAAATGGAAGCAACATAAATTTATCCTTCCTCATTTCCTGTTGAGCCTGTGGGTGTCGTCTAAATTATTCTTGGATGACAAGAGTTTTCAGAAACAGGATGCTGCAATCACTAAAACTAACTGGTGATAATTTAGAGGTATAAGTTTGCTTCCCCCTTCTTTCTCCCACTAAAAGTATTGTTAAGTTTATGTTACAAATGTTTTCTTTTCCCGCACAGCACAGTGTCCTCCAGTATTAATGCCTTAGCAGCAGTGACTGTGGAAGATCTTGTCAAACCTCACTTCAGGTCGCTCTCAGAAAGGTCTCTGTCTTGGATTTCCCAAGGAATGAGTAAGTTTCCTTTTGCATGATGCCATTTTAGCTCAGAGAGATGATTTTGGAGATGCTAGAAATTCTTTTCCCTGGAAAATACAGTGATAACTCTCGAGTGTGAATGTATGACTTACTGCAGACATGACCATATCTACAACCAAGATTTGGGACACACTTCAAACATTTAATTTTCAGTGGACCACAAAACACAATTTCCAGGCGTTCTGTTTGGTTATCTCTCTTCCTTAATTTCATTCTATCCCAAGTCTGTGTTTTCCTAGCCATAAGAAAAAAAAAATCAAACCTTTCATTTTCAACTTTACTTCACAATTCTAAGAAATACCTTTAGTTTGAAATCAATAACCATGCTTTTCCTATATTACCTAACAGGTGCAGTCAGTTTTAGGGCTGTATGTATGGATTGAAGATAAAGACACAGAATATTCTAATTTTTAACCCATCTTGATTTGTTCTGTCTGCTCACATACACTATCCCGGGGATAGTCCCCAAAATTGTTCAAAGGATTCTTAGCTTCTATTCTGAAATTGTAGAAGCATATTAAGGGTTATATATTAGCTTGAATGGAAAGGTGTAAGGGTTCCCAGTACTCAGATATCCCAAATGTAATATCTGACTCAAAGAAATCTGGCTAGTATACTTCCTCATTCACTTAGACATCTCTAGTATATGTGTTTTGGAATGAATAACCAACAAATTTGTTCTTTTTTAAGCAAATTTTTAACTTCAACCCAGTGACACTAATAAACTGTCAAAGAAACATCAAATAATACTGTTTTGAGTCTCCATTTTATGTTCAGTTACCATGACTGTAGCCTGAAATAAGTACCTAATTAATATTTTTCAATGTTCACGAAGTTTAAAAAATTTAAATAGTAATGCCTCATTTTATTATATACCTGGCTTGAATTCTGGAGCAAAATTTCAGAATGATAAAACGCTCCCTCTTCAAACATAAAGCCTGATATCAAGAGTTTGTACTTATGGAAATAGGCAAACATTTTCTCATTAAAAATTTTGGAAATAAAAAATGCTCCCTAAGGAGTAGATTGGTTGACTATGGAATTATTGACACCATATGGTTTAGTTGAATGAAGAGACATGTTTAAAGCCAGACAGATCTGGTCTCACTTCATAATTTTACTAGGTAGTAGCCTTGAGTGAACCTACTAACTTATGGGAGTCTTTCTTTCTTTATTTGGAAAATGGAACCCTTGCAGGGTTACCAGGAAGTTTTGAGATAATGGTTATAAATGAAAAGCACTAATTGGTCCTCAAGAAGTGATAGGGATGATTCATGACAGATAATCTCAACTAGAATAGATGAAATTTTCATTCATTTTGAGACATTATATAAAATCATTATCTTAAGGTATACACAGTAAAGACATCACAGAGAAGAACATGGAGGGTATTTGAGGTTTTTCTCTGATATTTTTGCATAGCAAAAATCATAGTGGTGACCATTAATGATCTATCAAATGGAGAAGAATCAAACTAAATATATTGGAAATATTATTTATATTGGGATTGAGAGGCATAAAAATCATTTCGGTAAGAGCTCTTTGTAAAACAATGTAAGATTTTTCATTCAGGTGCAATAAGATTATTTACTTACATACTTCACAAAGGTGTTTATTTGTAAGATAGGAACTGCATAAGGAATGCACTAATTTTATGATTAGCAAATTTCCCAATTTTACTGTATTTTGAATTTTGAATGTGGGAAATAGTATCAACTGATGTCAGGTGATTTCTGCTGAAAGGAATTCTTAAAATAAAGCTTTTTGGATATATAATTTAAAAAGTGATAGATGTAACGAGAAAATTTGGAAAGTGCTGAAATGTCAAAAGATAAAAGACAGTTCCCATGGTCTGAGCATCAATAGTAGCTTGAGCATTTCTAAAAGTTAAAGGGGACACAGCTTGGTAGAAGGGGGAATATGACACTGGCTTGTAGTTCTCTTTCTGTGCTACTTTAATAGGAAAGGCATGGGGGTGCTGACAGAAATTAAGGGGGCGCAGGGTAGATAACAATTCAAATGAAAACTTGGTTTGGATATTTTCTTCTCAAGAGAAATGAAAGCTGCAAGTGAGAAGACTTTAACTTCTGCTGTTGATTACCCTCCTTCCTCCTTGCTGTACACAGTGGAACTGAGTTCTGAGTTATTTTTGGCAGGCTGAAACAGACACCTGAGCCTCCCTTTATAGACAAATGTTTATGGAGGATTGAATTTATAACACAATAGTTCTTAGTTTTAAGATCCCTGTAGTTAATTCCAGGGATTCTTTACTTATATAACCTACTGTTATAACTAATCTTGGGACACAATAGAAGGGCTTTGTCCTCTGTACTGATCCTGTAGGTAAAACACCCCTCCTTTTTTGGCTGGCTCTGATGTGTGTGGCCATTCTTCATCACAGTCACATTACTCATGGTGAATTAAAGGTGAGGTGGTTTATTCCATGCAGAATTCCAATTTTATACTGGTTTTTCCACTGTTCATTTAGGTGTGCTGTATGGGATGTGCTGTATAGCAATGGCTGCTCTGGCATCACTAATGGGAGCCCTGTTACAGGTGAGAGCTGACTCCCAAAAGTTCGAATCATAATCACTAAATTATTTTTCTAAAATGTCCATGTGGCCGTCTTTTTTTCTCAATATGTATTGAGAAGGACATACACAGGGACAGATATGACTAAATAATTTATTTAAAAAGTTAAATCTTCTACTTCAAGATAATTGTAGATTTAGGTACAAGTTGTAAGAAATAATACAGAGAGATCCCAAATATCTTTTACTTAGTTTCCCCCACTATTAACATCTTGCCATTTTAACATCTTGGCAGTACAATGTTAAACTGAATACTGGCATTGATATAGTCAAGATAGAGAATTTCCATCACCATCAGGATCCCGTTATTGCTCTTTTATAGCCACATTCTCCTCCATCCTGCCCCAGATCCCTCCTTAACCTGCTCTGGCTACCACTAATCTGTTCTCCACTCCTATAATGTTGCCATGTCAAGAATGTTATATAAATGGAATTAAACAATATGTAACATTTTGAGATTGATTTTTTTTTCACTCAGCATAAGTCTTTAGACATTCACCAGGTTGTTGCATGTAAAAATACTTATTCTTTTTTATTTTTGGACAGTATTCTATGGAATGAGTGTACCATACCACTCTCTTGTTAAAGATATCTGAACTGTTTCCAGTTTGGGGATATTACAAATACACCTGCTGTAGAAATTCATATGCCAATACTTTTGTGAACATAAGTCTCTTCAGTTCTCTGGGGCAAATGCTCAGGAGTACAGTTTCTAGTTAGTTGAATGTTTTCTTTCTTTCTTTTTTTAAAGATTTATTTATTTATTTGAAAGTCAGAGAGGGAGAGATGGATATAGAGATCTTCCATCCATTAGTTCACTCTCCGGATGGCTGCAATGGCCAGGGTGGGCCAGGCCAAAGCCAGGAGCATGGAGCTTCTTCCAGGTCTCCCATATGGGTAGCAGGGGCTCAAGCACTTATGCTCCACTGCTGTCCCAGGTGCATTAGCAGGGAGCTGGATTGGAAGTGGAGCAGCAGGGATACAAACCAGTGCCCATATAGATATGTTGGCATTGCAGGGAGCAGCTTTACCCACAACAAAACAATGCCAGCCCTGAATGTTTTCTTTTTAAAGGCATTGCCAATTTGTTTTCTGGATTGACTGACATTTTCATACTATTGGCATGTATAAATGAATGGTCCAGTTTTTCTTATACTTTTTAGTATTTGATAATTTCACAATATTTTATATTAGCCATTACTATAGGTGTGTCGTGATACCCATTGTGATTTAAATTTTCATTTTCCTAGTGACTAATGATGTTGAATATTCTTTTCAGGTATTTACTTGCCATCAATTTATCTTCTTCCACAAAGTATCTCTTTCCTTTTTTTTTTTTAACCCACATTAATGTTGAATTATTTGTTTTTAAAAAATTAAGCTTAACATGGTCTTTCAAGAGAGTGAATTTTTAGTTCGATGAAGTACAGTTTATCATATAGTCTTTTTAAGGATTCTGCTTTTGGTGTAGACATTGTGAACTATACCTAGCCCCTGATCGAGAAGATCCTTCCTGTTTGTAAAACTCTGAACTTCTTGAAAACAATCTATGTTTCAGTATATTTTGGAATTGATTTTTGTATAAGTATGAAACTTAAGTTGGAAATATCCCAGACATATTTCCAGCCAACACCATTTATTGAAATTCCTACCTTATTTCCATTGAACTGTCTTTGCATACTTGACATGTTTTCCTGAGTTCTCTGTTCAATTCTATTGGTTTATTTGTCCATCTCTGTGCCATACCACACAATCTTAATTAATGTAGCTTTATAGTGAGTCTCACAATCTTTATTCTGATTTTTAAAAATTGCTTTAGCTATTCCAGTTCTTTTGCCTTCCCATATAAATTTTAGACTAATCTTGTCTATAAGAAACATTGCTTAGATTTTGATTGCATTGTTGTTTGGTGCATACTACCTTTAGAATTGTTATGGCTTCTTGGAGGATAAACCTTTTTGTTATTATAAAATATCTCTGATAATTTTCTTTATTCTGGTCTAATTTATCTGATATTAATATAGTTATTCATGCTTTCCTTTGATTAATGGTTGCATGATATCTTTTTCCATACATTACTTTGGATCTGCTTATATTGTTATATGCCTATATTCTTATATGTTAAAATGAGTTTTTTGTAGACAGCATTTTTTAAAAAAAAGTTGGTTTTTTTTTTTTTGGAAAGAAAATCCATTCTGCCAATCTCTGTCTTATTATTGGTATATTTAGACCATTTATATTTACTGTACTTCTTGGTACATCAGGGTTTAAGGCTAAACTTTTTTTTTTTTTCTGTTCTATTTCTTTTTTTTCTCTGCCTTACTATGGAGTGCTTAAACCTTACTTAGAATTCAATTTTGATTTATCTATATTGTTTTATATTCATCTCTTTGTATAGCATTTTTAGTGATTCCTTTACACACACCACACACACCCATATACACATAATTACTGTTTTTGTCATTTTATCCATTTGAACAAAAATGTCAAGCCTTACCTCTATAATACAATTATTCCATCAGATAGTGTTATAATTTTTGCTTCAATTGTCAAATTTAATGTAGAAAACTCAAGAGGAGAAAAAAGTTAATTATATTCACCCCACATTTTTGCTTATTATATTCTTTCTTTCTTCCTGATGTTCCCAGGTTACTTCTTTTTATAATTCTCCTTCTATTTAGAGAACTTCCTTTAACCTTTCTTTTAGGATAGATCTCTGACAACAGATTCTCTTAGCTTCCCTTCATCTGAGAACATTTGTCTCTTCCTTATATTTTCTTCTTTTCTGTGAGGTTTTTGTATCTTTTCTGAAACCTTCCATTTTTTATTTGTCCCAAGTGTGTTCCAGCTGATATCATGGTTGCTTAAAAATATTGGTCAAAAAATTCCAGTGTTTCTGTCATCTCTACGTGGGCATCTATAGATTGTCTTTTAAACCTCAGTTTGAGATCTTCCAGGTTCTTGCTATGAAAAGTGAATTTTCACTGAAATCTAGGCATTTCCATATTATGTGATGAAAGTTTGGATCTCACTTATACCTTCTGGGTTAGCTGGCCTAAACACAACTTTGGTAGGGCGAGGGAGGATGCTGCCTCATTATTCTCATGTGGGGGTAGAAGTTCAGGTTTCCCACTGGCCTTTAATGACACCTAAGGGAGGAGCTCCTTGCTATGCCTGTGGGTTGTGTACTGTGCTGTAGATGTATCATGGCTATAAGAATAATGATAGCTACGAAACCCATGCAAGCACCTTGCAGCACTGATACTTGGTGTCACTTAGCCTATGACACAACCTGGCCAGGTCATTTCCAAACCTAGTCCAGGGATTTCCAGGAGACAAGGTCACCACATTATAGATGCAACTCTCATAAACCTTTAGCAAGGTTACCTTTGCAAGAATAGTTTAAACTCCCTATATGAAAGAAATACTTGGTGTCTGACCTATATTGAATATAAGTATAAAGGAGGGGGAAAGATCACCTAGACTCTGAATGGCTTCTGGATAGAGACCCTCCAGCTCTGTCAGTCATCTGACTCCCTGACTCTATCTAGCCCACGTGACTGCTCTGCTCCTACAATCTGTCTTGTCAGAGCACTGCTTAAACATCAGATGGTATGTAAGTCTTTACATAAAGCAAACAGAAGGTGGGTGGAGAAGTCACCCCTGGGATGCTGGTTACCTAAGACCAATCAAAACCACCAAGTGAAGCTGGCAATGAAGATAAGTAAGTCAGCAAATGAGTAACAAACTTCTATGAGAGAATATGGAGAGAGTAACTGAGGGCTGGCTGTGATCGAGAAATTGGGTGAAACCTCATGGAACACTGCACAGAAGCTCTGGTGGTTTTTACTCTGCTTTCTCGCCTGTTTGTTACCCTCTACCTGTGTTTTGTCTGTTGAAGAAACTGCCACCAGAAAAAATCTTCTACAATTGTTTTTAAGACTGCTTTGGTCCCCAGTAGAGGTGAGGCATAAGGTGGAACAAGGAGAAGGATGGTAATGATGTCAGGGGAGCTACCTATACATAGCTAGCGGCTGTGTTTCTCTCCTGGAAGGCTCCTGGCACCATGGTGCCGCAGATTGAGAATGTCAAGATAAATATTAACTGCACAAGGTAAATGTACTGTTGCCTAGCAATGAGGAAATTATAAGATGTCCACCAGTAGACCCCTGGATTAACACCACCAACAAAGTCCACAAAATCATCAAAGGGCACATCACTGCCATCTCCCTCTGTACACTCCTGATGAGACAGTGTGGCTTCTCAAGGGATGTGCTACAACCTATGATGCCTGTTGGGTATCGCTGGCAACAGCCCATGGGCAATGTGCCCAAATCACAAGGGCTAACGTTAGAGTCACGTCACTTTGCCTGGTCCATCCAGAGTCCTGTGAGCTGTGGCATGATCCAGGTGACTGCTGGATGCCCTGTCAGCATAACCAGCTACCATCTGACTCACAATTGTGAAGCGTCTGCCGCTTCCACAACCAGATAGGATGAGGCAGAGTGCATCCTGGGTCCCAAGGAAGTCCTTGACGAGTCACGACTCCTGATGTGGACAGAAATTCAAAGCCTGCTCAAAGACCTGATGCAGGGAACTAATGAGAAAAGCACCTGCTGGCTATACCATATGTACCTGATCTGCAACTCATGGGCCAAGAAATAAACAGCTGGCATCTATCTCCAAAGTCAACAAGATCAGTTCATTACTTAAAGATCCTGTCAAGCTAATTCAGGAGCCAGATGGGGCCCTGGGCACAGAGCATGTGGAGGTAAGCTCTTCCTGCTCTTTGCTGCAACGATTGCTCACGGTGAACAGCCCACACCAGCAGAGCCTCTAACTAATCCCAAGGGCTGAAAGTGACCTGCACACTTTGTTGAGGGAGAAAAATAGCTATTGAGGCATTTAGGCATGATCAGTGGGTTTGTGCAGCCACCACCCCCACCAGACAGGGATGCCCTGGGGAGCCCTGAACATAACAGACCATCCTGGGCCCACATGCTTCACAGTTGATTTTTGGGGATGCCTCACCACGGGCCATACCAACTCCCCTGGCACTGAAGGTCACAGCCTCCGAAGTTAATCAAACTGTAGGCTTTTATCACCCTGAAAAATACCTAGGCACAATCATCCAATAAAGTGATCCCACCAACAGTTTGCCTCCTTCCCCCATCCATGCACAGAAAGGACAAAGCGACCTCTACTGGCAGTTATGTTGAAGCACACCCCCAAACTGGCTGGTCTCTGGAAAGCCTTAGGAAGTCCTCCAGACCATTGTTTAGCTAGCAGGTCTCATCCACTTACCCATCTGGGTGGCTGAACACAAATTTTTCCACTTGCTGAAAGATGCCTGCACTCTTAAAACTCTTGTCTTGTGCCTAGGCCATACAGCCTGACCCAACTGTGGTAGGTATTACCTGCCTGGTAATGCCTTTACTGGTAAATTTGCCCAGTAGTCTTTTGGGCCACTTTACCACTGTTTCTACAGCTTGTGTCTTCTTGGAAGCATCTGCTGTCCCTGGAAGTCATTTGGGATGGAAAAGACCCAAAACTTTGGCTTGACTGGACCATCTTCAAGATGAAACATTTGCATCTTTGACATGACCTGAAGTGTATAACGTGTCTCGAGGACTTACTGCTTAGTTCTAAGTCCTTCTGGTCCTTCTGCCCCATTGCAGGCTGCCATTGCTCTCCTACCATGCAACTCTAATTCTGATCAAGTCCATTCAACTCCTTTTATATCTGAATATGATTATTTTTGAAGCCCCACATTCTCACTGCCTTTCGCTTCTCTTGGTGGTCTGAAGCCCATATCAAATTGTGGCTTCTCCAGACCTATTGGCCAGTTCTTTGGCATTGGGGTCACTGCCAGTCTCCACCGTGGGGTCATTTCAGCCACTCACCAAGCATCTAGCAATTTAATTTGTTTGGTATGCCTCCACCAACCTTCTACCACTCATCTACTCTTTATAATCAACACTGGTTACCACCTGCCAACTAGTTTTCCCTTGCCATTGGTGAGGCTACCACAGACCCACAGCTGAACCCCACTATCATTATCTTCACTAATTTCAGCTGAAGAATGGACCTACTCTGCTCTCTCAACCAATGATGTGGTTAAGTTCCCACCAGATTGTTCTGTGAATGCCATCACTTACTCATCACCCTTATACAGAAGATCCGTACCTTGAGATTTGGCTGACCATGAAGCATACTAAAAGCTTAAGCAGCCTCTAGATTATTGATGTCTTCAGAGTTAGGTGGTAGAATGCAGTGTACACTTGTACCACTATGGTGACTACAAGTTTAGAGGTAGCCATAGGACCCATACAAGTTTCACACAGAACTGATTTCTGTGTCACTTAGCTTGTGATGCATCCTGACCCAGGGACTTCCAATCCTGGCCCATGGACTGCTAGGAGACAGGACTACCTCAGCATAGGTACTATTCTCACAAACCTTAGAACAAATATTACCTTTACAAGAGTAGTTTAAACACACTGTCGGAAATAAATGCCTAGTAACCAACTCAGACTAAATACAGATTGAGAAAAGGAGGGAAGATCCCCCAAACTCTAAGAATGATCTCTGGATGGAGACGTGATCCATTGACTATATCTGAGCCATGCTACTGGTCTGTTCCTGTTCTTCTATGAGTACTGTCGGAATAATCTGATTGAGATGTCTAAGACTCATCTTTGATACAAAGTGAACCCAAGGAGAGACATCCACTCAATCATGCAGAATCCTGGAATGTGACAGGAAGGTCTCCATTGACACCATGGCCTGAATACTGCTGGGCAATGGTGATAGTCTTGACTATCCACTAGGCCTCCTGGGGCTTTACCAGCAGGTGCACCTTGGTACAGGCTGGGGGGACTGAATCTAGGCTCCCTACTTGGCCTTTGCTGGCAAGGGAGTAGGTGGGCCAATGATTCATTCTGTGGTGATTGGGTAGATGAAGCATTTATTGTCTGTGTGTTTTCTATCCTTTCCAGATGTTCCTTTTCTGGCTCTGTGTTTAGGAGAGAACAAGTGTTTGTTGGTAGTTTATTATTCTTCTTCCTCCCCTTCCTCCCTCCTCCTCCTCCCCCTCCCCCTCCTTCTCTTTCTCTTTGTCCTGTGCCTGTTGGAGTTTCTGGTTGGCTGTCTTCCTCAACCCTAGGACTTGGATATATGAAGTAAAAAGGAAGCTAAGAGAACTCACCACCACTGTGTCACTGTGCAGGTCCCAGGGTCCCTAGTCAGTTTGAGTTCTACCCACCTTTCAGAGTCTTCTTATGCTTATTTTATATGGAACGCTAATATTTTTTTTATCTTATTAGCAGAATGAATTGAGAAAACTATGTTGACTCCATTTTCTTGGATGTAAAAATATGCAAAATCATTTTTCTTTTTTTTTATTTGAAGGATCCTTCACCTCCCATTAAATTGTTAACTTTTATTTTTTTATAGAGAGTACTTTTTGTATTGGAGGAGTTATTATGGAGAGGACGGATCGATCTTTCTGAATGTTGTGTGTACTTCACAGCCTTTAGCAGGGATTGCCTCTCCGCTTGGAGCAGCCTTCCTCTCTACTTCTTAATCAGTTTAAGTCTTTCTTATTCTTAAACTTGCTGCTTAAACATTACTTATTCAGAAATATCTGTTACCTGGATAAGTTTGATTATTTTTTGCTAAATGTTCCCAGAGTACCTACTACTTCCTGATTCATCTTCACTATCATACTTTATTGCAATTATTTATTTAAAGTCTGTTTTACCCAAAAGTCTGTCATTTCATGAAGGTGAAGATAATGATGTTGTTATTCAACACTATATGAAATACATGGCACCGACTACAATGCTCAACAAAGATGACCCTTATCAAATTCAGCATGAGTGCACCTATATCAGTATGGGTTTATAAATGCTGACTTGTCTGATAATCCAAAGTGCTTCCTCCCTAAAACTTCTTGGGCTACCTGGGCTCCCCCTTGGTGAATCCCAGATCCCCTCATGATCCACAAAGCTCAAAGTTAATGTTGGGAAAATCAGAGATCCTCTAAGATTTTATTTCAGTCCTAAAGTTTGGTTCTATTTGGGTTGGTTGTTTAAGGCACACTAGTTTTTAGAGTAGTCTGATCTCACCCCTGATTTTATGAATGAATGAATTAGGTTCAGAAGCTCTATGCTTACCCAACACACCTAAGTCATAATCAATAAATCTCCCAAGTGTACTTCCCCTGGAATCTGCATTATTGCTTATAGCTCTTATTGTGATCAATTTCCCCCCCTTTTTTTGATATATCAGTTCTGACTTGACTCTATACCATGACATTTTCTAGTAGAGTTGCCATAACTCAAAGCTAGTTCTTCTTTTTTCATCTCTGGCCAAAGTATTATTTCTTCTGACAGATCCAGTTTTTGAGTATATTCCTTGTATCTCCAAAATTGGCTCACAGATCACACTGTCATAACTTACTTCATGAGATCTGACATCTTTCCTATCTTGCTGTGTAGTCCCCTCTCCCTTTCTACAGAACTCCACTGTGAACTTACTCATCTTTGAGTTTACAATTTCCTTAAACATAAGTTCTGTCTCATCAATACTGAAACTCCTACCCATAATCCATAAGGTAGGCTTTTTATGAGGATGATGATGTTGACAATGATGGCTATATAAAGACTGCAGTCTATCTATACCCTCAAACATTTTCTTGACTTGATATATTCTCTTTGATTCATTCACCCTATTCTGTTAGGTCTCTTTCCTTTGTTGACAACCCAAAATGTCTCAGACCCTTCTTTTATGGCTCTGTTCATTCTTAATCACTAGGCAACTGATGATTATTGGGAACATGAATGTGTTGAAAATGGGAGATTTTTACATTTCTTCATGTTTCACATTGTAATCTTTCCCCCCTCCTGGTTTGGGTTTTTGTACTTCAAAGTAAATATTACAATTATCTAATTGATTTTATGTTTATTTCTTTATGATTTGACCAATCTATCTTATTTTAAAGATTTATTTATTTATTTGAAAGGCAGAGTTACAGAAAGACAGAGATAGAGAGAGAGAGAGAGAGAGAGTCAGTCTTCCATCCACTAGTTCACTCCCTAAATGGCTGCAATGGCCGGAGCTAGGCCAATCTAAAGCTGGGAGCCAGGAGCTTCTTCCAGATCTCCTATATGGGTACAGGGGCCCAAAGACTCAGGCCATCTTCTACTACTTTCCCAGGCCATAGTAGAGAGCTGGATTAGAAGTGGAGCAGCCAGGACTTGAACCACCACCCATATAGGATGACAGCCCTGCAAACGGTAGCTTTATCCTCTACATCACAGCGTGCGGCCCCAATCTTTATCTTTTAAAGAATATTTTTATTCTGGTGCCATCATTTGGGAACCAAATCAGGAATGGGCAATGGGTTTCATTGCTGTCTCTGAACACTTGAATGTGCTTTTGCACAATCTGGTTTTGAGGAGTGTTTCGAGACTACTAACCCACGTAGTAATGCTGCGATCTATTATTGTCAGGAGGAACAAAGCTGAGCAGAGTAGTCTTGATTTCTGCCTTCATTTGGGGTCTGCCAGTGTCTCAGGATTATCATCTTTGCATTTTGTTGCCTTTTTTTGAGGATACCTGAAGGAACAGATGGGTATTTGAAATTGAGAAACAGAAGGCTGCAACTTCTAATTATCTCTTTGAGTTGCCATGGAGAAACTATGATTTTCAGAAGTCTGAATGCTTTAAATCTTCATCCTGATGAATTTTACTTCAAAACATTTCAGGTTGGATTTGGGATTGCCAGTTGCTGACTTTGTATTGTTTTTGTAGGCAGCACTCAGCATATTTGGAATGGTTGGTGGACCACTTCTGGGCTTGTTTTCTTTGGGCATCATGGTTCCCTTTGCCAACTCAATTGTGAGTATAAAGAAGAATATGTATAAAGGTTGCTTTGCCAACTATAATAGTGGCTTTATATCACTTTTTCCACAGTTGTAAAGATGTAGTTCCTTTGAGATCTCTCATTCATGATTTGTCTTAATGACTTAAATTACTCATTTTGACTTTGGTGGATCGTTAATGAAGTACTAAGCACTGGAGCTCCACATGTGGGAAGCTAAATGGAGACTGCCATAACTAAAGAGTCAAATTTTAAATATTCATAAGGAGTCATGTTTTTGTATATTTGTCTTCCTGCCCATCTTAAGAATTAGTAGTTAGGATTTAAAGGAGGAGGTCAACAGGCTCATACAGGAGAGATTTAAGAGCAATATTGTCAAGGATTCTCATGAATATCAATAGTACAATGTAGAGAAGCAATACGATATTTACCACCATGACCAGAAAGTTTCTGCTCCTAATAGTTAAAGCTGTACCTCCCACAACATAGTGCTAGCCCAAAAGAGGTGGTCATATTTGGGAATATTCTCAAGAAAGAGGTAATATCTCTACATAGTTCTTCTAAATAGACATATCTAATTTAGAAATGCTAAATTTTATTTTGAATAAATGAAATACAAATTATTTTTCTGAAATCTAGGAGAAAGTATACCAGCTCAGTCCTGGTATAATATGAGGTTCAGAAAAAGCTAGTGATGTATTATATAGTTTTTCAGACATTCATAGAATAACTAATGAATGATGACTTCATATTCAAAGTTCTGTTTTCCTTATAAGGCATTAGTAATTGTTAAGACAGATATCAATAAAGGCTAGCATTATTAATAATAATGAAGGGTCATATGAGAAGCTAGTTTTGTAGAAACTAACCACAGTGAAAGAGAGTGGCTTGTGTCTACCCCAAAATGTTGAAGTTTGCCTAGACTCTGCATTATGAAACCATAGAGGTTTTTTGAGAGTCTGAAAAATGAGAGAGAGATCAACTTTCAGTTTTTGTAATTGTTGCCACCATGAGTAGCCTCTAGAAGAGCTGAAGCTGACTAGGTCCAACATGCTCTTTGGGAGAGATCCTATTATTCCTGCCATAAGAAATACTTCGTTACCATATCCAGGTTTTTTCACCAGCAGGTTATCTGCCTTCCCTTGGAGTGGCCTTTTTCCTTCTATTCTTCCTTCCTCATTCACTCATTCAATGAGTATTTATGGAATGGGCATTGCTGTGGGAGAAGAGAGCTAAATGTTTGCCCTCAAGAGTTTTTAAATTTTGTGGAGCTTTGATCAAACAATGCACAATGCTGAAAGTAAGCTAAGCATGGCCTGTCAACAGTTGGCCATTTTGCTATTCCAACCTCATATTATTTTAAAAAATTGACTGCGCTCCTACTATATCTGTCACACTGTAGTAGCTCCAGGGTACCAAAATTTAAGAAACTTAATTGTGGTCTCAAGGAATTCATGACTTGTGAAAGAGCTCACAGTTCTTGTCCCCAGCATCCATCTCCTGATCTGACCAGTGGCCTTTTCACTTTCCATTTTTTTCCTACTTTGTGATTTCATTTCTATTTCCCCTGCTACCTGATATCTAAAGGAGGGGAATAAGCCCATCCCATAGGGAGGTGAGCTTTTGTTGGACCTAGGATTTAAAACATTTAAAGGCTGGCAGAATATCTGGGTTACTGCTGAAAAAGCTGGAGGACATACATTTCCAAAGACTGTGAATTCAGATGACTTCAGAGGGGAAAGCTGGCCAGAAGCTCCCTTCTGCATTAACTTTATTTCTAGATATGTTTTGGCTGTGTGCACTGCTGCATTCATTTGTCAACACTGCCTGCTAGTTTCCTCCTAGTATCCGGCAGCACAATTCCAGCTATGCTTGTTGTTAACTCTGAGGGAAAACTTGACTATGCTTTCTTTCTTCTTCATAGTCTGCAGCTGATATGGCATGCCATTTCTTTACAGATTAAGTAAAATAGAGGGAACAGTTGGCCTGGAGTCAGCTACATGGCTTCTGTGGTTATTTGGGTGTGAGGAGACCAGGAGGCCAGAGCAGAGTGCTGGCCATGGAAACAGAGTGGAAAGAAGGGGGAGTATGAGAACTCTGAAAAGAAAAATAAGCAGGAATTGATGATTGGCTAGCTAGGAATATAAATAAAAAAATGGGGTGGCCGGCGCCACAGCTCACTAGGCTAATCCTCCGCCTCGTGGCGCTGGCACACCTGGTTCTAGTCCCGGTTGGGGCACCGGATTCTGTCCCGGTTGCCCCTCTTCCAGGCCAGCTCTCTGCTGTGGCCAGGGAGTGCAGTGGAGGATGGCCCAGGTGCTTGGGCCTGCACCCCATGGGAGACCAGGATAAGTACCTGGCTCCTGCCTTCGGATCAGTGTGGTGCGCCGGCTGCAGCGGCCATTGGAGGGTGAACCAATGGCAAAGGAAGACCTTTCTCTCTGTCTCTCTCAGTGTGCACTCTGCCTGTCCAAAAAAAAAAAAAAAATGGGGTTACATAATCTCCAGGGCTCCGGGCTGAGGACCCAGCAGTCTATGGTACTCTTGAGAAGAGGCAGAAATCTTGTGAAGAAAGGTAGTTTTAGGATGGAAATTTGGTGAATTTAGCTTGGACCATGTTGAACTTAACTTTATAATGTGAATTTCCATCTCAAAGAAAACTATAGCCAAGATTCTGTGGCAAAAAATATCCTACATGGAGGATCTCTGTGGAAAGAAAGGGTCATCATCCTCTGAAGAGAGGAGAGAACATCCACTTTGCTTATGGCCGTGTCCAAATACCGATGGAGTCTATGGTCACAGAAGGCTTCCATAGCCTTGGCAGTGATCACTGACGTCATAAATAAGAGTATTAATTGTTAAAGGAACAACAGAAGTCATTGTGCACTTAGTCCCTATAGAGGACCTCCGTCCCTAATGAGTTGTACTATGAGAATCGACTGCAAATTTTGTTCCCAAACTGTACTCTATATGTTGTGTGTATGTGTGGGTGTAAACTGTGGAAGTCTATGCTTAGCATGGAGTTGGTCCTCTGTATATAAAGTCAAACTAAAAATGAAGCATAATGAAGAAGGAGAGAGAGGTGGGATGGGAGTTGGGGTGGGTAGGGTGGGTATGGAGGAAAGAACCACTGTATTCCTAAAGCTGTATCTATGAAAAAATGCAATCATTAAAGAAAACTTAAAGAAAACTTATTTTTCTATTAAAAAAGTTCTTTTGTTTTGCAGGGGGCACTTGTTGGTCTGATGTCTGGATTTGTTGTTTCTTTATGGGTTGGAATTGGAGCTCAACTTTATCCTCCACTTCCTGAGAGAACTGTGCCATTACACCTTGACACCTCTGGCTGTAACAGCACGTACAATGTCACTAATTTGATGACAACCACAGAAATGCCATTTTCTACTAGTGCTTTTCAAGTACACAATGCTGAAAGGTATTAAATCATGCAATAATACCATATTTTAAAAAATTATATAATAAGTAGAGAAATCCAATTGCTTTGTCTTCTAACACTATAGTTTTGCATAAGTCTGAAATGATAGAGCCCATATGACTTTCTCCCTATAATGTATTCAGCTATAGCAAAAATACCATATTTTCATTTCTGTATAAATTTCTCCCTTACCTACAGATTTGGTAACCTACTTGATTATTAATGAAAGAAATTCTATGAGTAAACCCTATCAAAAATCAGCTCCAGCTGCATCAAAAATTGTCTTTAAAAAATGTTTAAAATGAAAACACAATTATAAAAGAAATACTGCTGATATTGCCTTTGAAAGATAGTTTTATTGGCCAAAGCTACATTTTCTAAGTTTATTGAGTAATTGCTATACATTCTGTTTTAGATTCCATATCTTTCTAGCAATAGCAATGAAATGCAGCTATGATTTTCCTGTTAGAGTTTTCACTGATGTAGCACACTTTTGAGTATAGCTTGTCTAATTTAATGAAATTTTGTAGACCTGGTGTTAGATGAATGTTTCCTTGTATAGTGGATATGGGGGGGCAAGATTTCCTTTAGTGTACATGTAAAAGCCTAACCTAAAGCACAAATCCCATGGATACCAGTATAAAGGAATACCAGTATAAAGCCACTGCTACCCAAATATTGCCCCAGGACCAACGTGCATAGAATAACACCCTTAAAGAATCATTCCTTTTAGGTCAAGACATGGTATCTCCCTCTTAAAATGGACACAGTCCTAGGAAAAGGAATATTATTATATATAGGCATTATTTTGCAATTCATGTCTTGAATTGAATTCAGCAATGAGAATACTTGCCAGTGGGATTTCTTGGGGATTCCAGGCAGGTAAGCTGTGTATGAGTGAAAAGGGATCTTTAGGAGAGATTTGACCAGGTAAAGTTCTGAGGGGAGAGAAGCAAGGAAATTCAGACAGTGTATTTTTTTTTAAAGATTTATTTATTTACTTGAAAGGCAGAGTTACAGACAGAGGGAGGGAGGGAGAGAGGGCCAGTGAGAGAGAGAGAGAGAGAGAGAGAGAGAGATATCCTACCCGCTGGTTTACTCCCCAATTGGCTTCAATGGCCGGAGCTGGGCCTATCCAAAGCCAGGAACCAGAAGCATCTTCTGGGCCTTCCATGTGAGTGCATCTACTGCTTTTCCAAGCTACCAAAAGGAGGCTGGATAGGAGGTGGAGCAGCTGGGACTCTAACTGGTGCCCATATGGGATGATAGTGCCACAGGTGGGTGCTTAACCTACTACCCACAGCGCTGGCCCCTCAGTGTTTTAGAAAAGCATGGGAGCACTATTTGGAGAGGGCTGGGAAAGTCATTAGAATCAGTCATAAGGGAGGAAAGGTAACTGAGGGTTAAGTAAGAGGACATTCAGAATATCCGTCTTTCACAGTTTTGCTTAGTATATGTACTATGTTAATATCTTTCTTAATTCAAGAGTCTAAGATGAAAAGGTTATTTGGATTCCTGAAACAAATTTATTTGCTGTTTTACTCTGTGGTTAGTATTATAATAATCAAATTTTTATATTAGCTTGGCTCAAAAAATAATTCAAGGAATAAACAATAGTTTTTGGTCATCAACTTTGTACCTATCATTGTGCTGCCCATTATTTAATATCTTTCAAAGAAAGTATTTTATTTTCATTTATGTAATTCCTACTTTTCAAGAAATTATAACCTAATTTGAGAGAATTAGCTAATATATACCAAACAAGAAACTCAGTAAGCACAATAAGCATAACTAGCAACCATAGATAGCTAATAAGTACTTAATAAATATTTGTTAAAAGAATGAATAAAGACAAAATTGCAGTATGGGTAGCATGAAGATTTCAGTACTGCTGACTGAAGAGATTCTCCTTTTGCCCCCACACAATGCAGCAGCAACTAAACAGATATAAACAAAAGCACTATTTTTATTTGGGTCTGCTTCATGATTCTTGATTCTGGTGTTTGTTGTCTATCAATCATTGGCCTGGTACCGCACTATCTTGATATTATTAGTTTATGTCAATGGTTTCCCTTTTTTCTGGGCTCTTGGCTCAAGTTCTCATTGCCTTAATCTCTCTCATGTCTTCAAAATCTCTGTTCTTTCCTCCCCTTCTCTAGTTTTTATACGTTGTTCTTGGCAGGATGGTTGGTATAGATAAACCATCTGATTACTTTTTCATCAAAAGTGAAAATGGAGAACTAGAGCAGTTGTTTTAGACACAGATCAGATCATGCCACTCCTAAAAAACTGTGACGCCATTATCTGTAGTGAAATCCCAACTCATACCCACTCACACAGGAAGTCCCTGGAGCTCATCTCTCATCTCGTACCATTCTGCATCTTCTTTACTCTGCTTTGATCAGCTGGTGTTTAACTTTCCTTGGGAGGCTTTTTTCAAGAACTTTTTGTTCCTCGGGTCTCAGGTCTAATAGCATTTCTTCCCGAAGGCTTTCTCCAACTACTCATTGTGTTGTGACTAGTCACTTCCTCTCTACTCCATTGAGGTCGATGTCATTATCACATTGTTTTCTTTTCTCTTTAAAGGTTTATTTATTTATTCTAAATGCAGAGTTATGCAGATGTGCGGGGGGGGGGGGTGGGTCTTCCATTTGCTGGTTCACTCCCCAGATGGCTGCAACAGGTGGAGCCGCGCAGATCCAAAGCCAGGAGCCAGGAGCTTCTTCTGGGTCTCCCACACAAGCGCAGGGGCCCAAGGACTTGGGCCATCTTCCACTGCTTTCCCAGGCCATACCAGAGAGCTGGATCAGAAGTGGAGACTTGGGGACTTGAGCCGGCACTCACAGGGGATGCTGACACTGCCGGCGGTGGCTTTAGCTGCTACGCCACAGCACCAGCCCTGCTTTATTTTCTTTACAGCACCTTTCCCCAGTGGAAATTATGATGTTTGTTAATTTGTTTACTTATTTATTATATTTATCTCTTCATTAGAATTTAAAACTTATATGAGCAGGAACCTCTTTACCTCACTTAAAGCTGATTCCAGTGACAAGATCAGCTCCCAGAACATTTGAATAAGCATGACACTTAAGTATTTTCATATATGATCAAGGTGAAGTCATACTTTTAGTTCCTGATCCAATAAGCTAAAATCAAGATGGCAGACAATGACATTAAAAACATTATTAAGTGTTCTGTTTTGGCTTTGCTCTGAGTATCATTGACACAAAATTGTAATTGCTAGCAGCACTACTTGAAATCTTACAGTGATATTTTTCCTGTCTCCTAGGACTCCACTGATGGATAACTGGTATTCTATATCATATCTGTATTTCAGCACTCTTGGAACTTTGGTGGCATTATTTGTGGGGATAGTTATCAGTTTATTAACAGGTAAGTGAATATTAGTATAGTATTTATCTCTGTATCAGTTTTATACTATTTTATAGTCACTTATACATTTTATTATGAGCCTGCTAACAACTGGTTTAATTATTTCTTCCATTTTACTGATGGGAAATTTGAAAACCTAGACCTGAGACAGAAGAAACATCTCTACTTGAGTGCTGTCCTGATGTTTCATAGCTGCCTGGACTTGGGCGAATCACACAGCTGCTCTGAGCCTTCACTAGCTTATGTGTGAAATGAGGATAACAGTAACTGACTTGTCTACCTCACAGGTTGCTGTAGGACTAAAAGAAGATGCTTGGCAAAACTCTGTGTAGCTACCAAAGTGCTAGGGCTTTCACACATTCAAGGGACTTCAAAAAGTTCATGGAAAATGTGTATTATGAAAAAATCTCCATGGATTTCAATTTTTTTTGCAGCAAAGTAGACTTATCTTTTAATTTTTTTTCTATGAACTTTTTAAAGTGTTCTTGTGTCTTTAAAATAATCCTATGCTGTGAATTTTCCATTGTTCTATATAAATTCTTCATACACTTGCAAAGAAATATATACATGCAAGGAAAAATAATAATGTCTAGACATAGTGTGAAGGCTTTTTAGATGTTTGTAAACTTTTTAAGATGTATTTTAAATATCAAATTGATAATACACCTAGTATAAATTATTACTTGGGATCACTACAGAAGTGTTATTCTTGGACTCCTTTTGTCCTCATTCTGTGAATTCTCTTGGCCTCCCTCTTGTGTTGTATTGCCTCCTGCCTGAAATCCATGACTCTTCATTCTTTGTTTACTCGCTTAATTGAAAGGAGCCCGTCCTGTAGCACATTCTTGAGAAAGGGTAGACAGAGCAGAGGTCTCAGAAACTGCTTGTCTGATAACTTTTTCTTTGACATTCTGCTGGACTGATGAATTGCTTAGAGAGGCCTGTTAAAAATAACCCTTTCTGAGATGTTTTAGTTCTCTTCTAGTTTTACTGTATTGCTGCCAAGCATAGATGCCATGCTACCTGTGGACTCTTTGAATGTGACCCATTTTCACAATGCCTGCCTTGCCCTAGGCCCTCAGTAGGGCCCCTTTAATCTGAAGACTCTTTGTCTTTCATTTCTGGACATCAATGAATTTTTTCTTTCACAACTTCCTGTTATTTTTCTGTTTTTTTTTTTTTCCTTGAAACTTTTGTTAGTTGAATCTTGGACAATTCCTCTAATTTTCTTGTCTTTTCTATTTTCCATCTTTGTCTTTTAGGTCTACTATGTGGATATTTTTTCAATTATATTCCAATAATTCTAAAAGGAGCACTCTGATCCACTTTGAAAATAGTCTATAGGGGTATAAGGGCAGGTAGGAGGCAATCACAGGAATCTGGATGAGGATCCTAGTGACTTGGACCTGGGTACTTAGTATGGAGTTGGTGCACATACTGGGCTCCCTAGATACCTGCATTTTCTCACATACTTGCATTCATCACAACCAACTAGGGGAATCGGCATTGTATTCTTCTTCAAATATGTCATAACTAGTCAGAAATTCTACCTTCACTTTGTCCAAGTATGTCTGATTTTTTTTTTTTTTTTGCTTTAAGCTAACAGAGTGAACAGCACTGTGCCACTTTATAGAATCTTACTCCTATGAATTAATTTTTGGCACCAGGATAGCATTGTATTTAAAACTTCTGTCACTCTTGTATTTATATTTTACAAGGTTTATAGCAATTTGTTACCTCTCAAACAATCATTTTAATATATTCTTTTTTGTCCAAAAGTATTATGCTTTATCTCATAAGTAAAATTAGTGGCACATTAGGATTATTCATCTGTTTAGATACATTTTAAGACAAATTTAAAACTTTTCACACCACTGACCCAGTTATTTCAGATCAGGAATACATGTATTCTGTAACCTTTTACTGTTTGACTTTTTGTTCTTAATCTATTTTCTTTTCTGAAAGGAAGTGGAGTGTCAGCATATTCTCTTTGAATAGTCCTTATTTTTTCTTCTTAAGTGCTTCTTTTAAAAAATCTTATTTATTTGAAAGGGAGAGGGAGGAAGAGAGAAAGGAGGGTGGAGAGAGGAGAGAGAGAGAGAGAGAGAGAGAGAGAGAGAGAGAGAGATATTTTCCACCTGCTGGTTCTCTCCCCAGATGCCTACAAGAGCTCAAGCTGAGCTGTCCCAGGCCAAAGCCAGGAACTAGGAACTCAATCCAGGTCCCTACCTGGGTATAAGGAATTCAACTATTGGAGCTATCACTTGCTGCTTACCTGGCTGCTCATTACGAGGAAGCTTGCATTGGAAGCAGAGGCAGGGCTTAAACTCAGACGTGCCAGATGCTGATGTCCCAGGCAGCATCTTAACTGCTGTGCCAATCACCCACACTATGAATGCTGATTCTTATAACCATATATGACTGTATCTCTAGTGTTAAAAGAAGATGCACTACCCAAGTGAACAGACATCTTCCAGTGATGAAAACACTTCAACTTCATTAATTTTGTAATGCACTTATTTCTATTCCACAGCAGCATGAACACATCAAAAAAGATTACAGAAAAATACAAGTCTGATACTCCTTGGAAAATATATTTCAGAACCTACAATAGGATGCCAGAAATCTATAACAGTTCAGGCTATACAGTCTTGGTTGGCATTTCACCTCCACCTGATTCTTTACTATGCACAAGAGTCTGTTTCTCCATCAGTAAGATGGGGTACGTAGTTTCCTGAGTAGACCATGAGCTGTGAGTGAATAATTGTTTATACTCCAGCACCTAGCAGAGCCTCTAGCCCACAGTAGTTCCTCAATAAAGTTGAATGAATTAAAGGTGATCCTATTATCAGAACAGAAGAACTCTCCATAATTAAAAGTCTTGTATGAAAGTAATGGCTCTCAAACTTAAGTGAGTATTATGGTTACTTTAGAAATTTGATGCAGGAGCTAAGAATCTTCTGCATTGCAAAGGAAACATTCAGCAAAGTGAAGAGGCAACAAACAGAATGGAAGAAACTATTTGCAAACTGCCACTGATAAAGGATTAATATCCAGAATCTATAAAATGCTCAACAACAAAACAAACAACCCAGTTAAGAACTGGGCAAAGGACTTGAACAGACATTTCTCAAAAGAGGTAATTCAGATGGCCAGCAGACACATGAGAAAATGCTCAGGATCATTAGACACCAGAGAAATGCAAATCAAAACCACAATGAGATTTCACTTCACCCCAGTTAGAATGCCTCTCATACAGAAATCAATAATAAATGCTGGCGAGGATGTAAAGAAAAAGGTACCCTAATTTATTGTTGGTGGGACTGTAAACTGGAAGAGTCATTGTGGAAGACAGTATGGCGATATCTCAAAAAAAGCTGAAAATAGATCTACCATATGACCCAGCAATCCCACTCCTGGGAATTTACCCAAGAGAAATGAAATCAGCATGAAAGAGTTATCTGCACCCCATGTTTATTGCAACTTAGTTCACAATAGCTAAGATATGGAATCAACCAGATATCCATCAACTGATGAGTGGATAAAGAGATTGTGGTATACATACATATATATATATGGTGGTGTGTGTGTATGTGTGTGTGTGTGTGTGTGTGTAATGGAATACTACTCAGCCATAAAAAAGAACAAAGTCCTGTCTTTTGCAACAAAATGGATACAACTAGAAATGATTATACTTAGTGAAATAAGCCAGTCCCCAAAAGGCAAACATCATGTTTTCCTTGATCTGTGGTAACTAAGAGTACCAAAAATGTAATATTTAGGAATGAAATTGACATTTTGAGATTCAATGATTATTTATAGCCCTTGTCTCTACTGTTGAGAACCAGTGCTTTATTCTTACTGTTTTTTGAACTCTTTACTTAGTGCAGGGTTAATCTTATGAGTATAAAGTAAACTTAAAGTAGATGATTGTAAAAAAAACTAAGAGAGGGAATAAGAGAGGAAGGGTGGGAGTGCGAGTGGAGAGAGGATAGGATGGGAAATATCACTGTGTTCCTAAAATCTGTATATATGAATTACATGAAATTTGTTTACCTTAAATTAAAAACATAAGAAATATGATGAAAATCAGATTTTGTGACCCTACCTGTAGGCATTCCAATTTTTTAAGTCCAGGATTGATCCCAGGAATCCAGAATGTAAGTACATTTCCTGGATGATTTAAATAAAAATGGCTTAAGGATCACTCTTTGAGATACACAGTTTTAAAAAGTAAAGTCTTTGATCCACAAATAGCAAATCAAAGGACATGTTTATTTTATTTATTTTTTAGGACTTTTTTTTAAAAGCAAAATCTTAGGGAAGATATTTAGATTGAGCATAATCAGCATACTAATTTTCATTTAAATAATTTATTCAGCATTTCATAACCTTGTGCATTTCTTCACATACATATGGGTATATATTTATAGCCACCAAACTGGGGAAAGGCAGTTTTACTATCTGAAGTAGAAGAAGATGGCTTGATATTTTATTTGGTGGATTATGTAGGGTGCTTCTGAACCAGTTTTCATAATCATTCTGGGACAGGTGACTTTTTCCTCTAGTTGAGTATTAGTTGAAGCAGTTGGCTATATTTAAAAGCCATCATATTATATATATGTATACATATATATGTGTATTTATACATATATACATACATATATATGTATACATATATAATATATAACATACAGTACACAGTAATATAGAAATGGTAATATAATATATAATAATATTATAAAATGTATATTTTTGGACTGCAGGAACTGAGAGTGACTGAAGAAGAGGGAATAGTATGGAGAGTAGCACTAAGTCTGCAAGCACTATTTTTTTTTACTTTTATTTAATAAATATAAATTCCCCAAGTACAACTTTTAGATTATAGTGGCTTTTTCTCCCCATAACCACCCTCCCACCCTCAACCATCCCATCTCCCACTCCCTCTCCCATCCCATTCTTCCTCAAGATTCACTTTCAATTATCTTTATATATAGAAGATCAATTTAGTATATACTAAGTAAAGATTTCAACAGTTGCAAGCACTATTTAAAAGTTTCTCTTGGAGTGGGCATTTAGCCTAGTGGTTAAGATGCTTGCCTCCCATATGTGACTATATCAGACCCTGGGAGTAGTGGTGAAGGCTCAGGTAACTGCGTTCTGTCTCTGTGAGAGACCTGGATTGAGTTTCCTCTTCCTGGCTGTTGGAGGCATTTGTGGAATGAACCAGCAGATAAAGAGCTTTCTCTGTTTGTCTCTATCTCTCTGTATGTCTCTCTGTCCCTCAAATAAATGGATATATAAAATTTTTAAAAGCTTCTCTTTCTTTTTGTATTTTATGAATACATAGAATGGAGTGTGCATAAATTAAATGCCTGTATGATGGAATATCACTGTGTAGTTCCAGGCATCTTTTTAGCAATGTAAATAATGTATTTTTCTTTTTAGGAGGAAGAAAACAGAACTTAGATACTAAATTCTTACTGACCAAAGAAGACTTTTTATCTAATTTTGATATTTTTAAGAAAGTAAGTTGGCTTTCATTTACCTTATAGTAGGAAACTGGACTTTATCATCTGAGTAGAACACTAGTTAGTCCTTTACCTGTTTCCTGAATAGTCATGGACGAGGACGGTATATAATGTCTTCTGCTGTCCGTATCTTTTTTTTTTTTAACTTTTATTTAATGAATATAAATTTCCTAAGTACAGCTTATGGATTACAATGGCTTCTCCCCCCCATAACTTCCCTCCCACCCGCAACCCTCCCCTTTCCCACTCCCTCCCCCCTTCCATTCACATCAAGATTCATTTTCAATTCTCTTTATATACAGAAGATCAGTTTAGCATACATTAAGTAAAGATTTCAACAGTTTGCACCCACATAGAAACACAAAGTGAAAAATTTTGTTTGAGTACTAGTTATAGCATTAATTCACAATGTACAGCACATTCCCCTCAGTAGATTAAAAAGCTGCTTTAGAGAAATAAAACATTACAGTTATTTGAATGAACAGTTTCTTTTTCCTAATCACCATATTAATGTTTTCTTTTAGAAGAGTCATGTTTTAAGCTATAAATCTCATCCAGTTGAAGATGGTGGAACTGATAATCCTGCCTTCAGCCATATTGAATTGAACTTCACAGATCAAAGTGGCAAGATCAATGGGACTCGTTTGTGAAGCAGCTCTGAAACCAGATGATACTAACTAATGTCTCAATTTTATATGTTTTCTAAGATAACTGGATCCAGTTAGGATTATTTTCGGTCTTTCTTGAGTATTTTAGGGGATACTTTTTTTGGAGCAAAGTCCTGACTTTCTTCTTTTACTGCACTAATTGATATTATTCTGCAGTTGAGAGTGTCAGCATCACATTTTCCTGTCTTTCTCTATTATTCCAAGCAGCTTTGGTTGTGAAATTTATGATCACATGTAACTTGAAAGGCTAATATGTACACATACACATGATACTTGATAGTCAAAGGCATATTTTTAGATTTGGGCATTACTGAAAATATTTTCCATGCTTTTGGTGCTACCATGCAAGTTTTGGGGTTTGCCAAAATCATAATTTTCTCCTTCTGCCACTTCTCTATTTTTAGGGAGCAATAAGGTGACAAATCTACATTGTTTAGGTCTATTAGCAGCCCAGGATACACTATGAACTTGGGATTGATTCTGGCTCAGGAAGGTGGGGATGTGGAAATGTTCCATCTAGAACAGAACATGGACCCAGTTATCTAGGTCTTCGGGTGACATTTGACTGATTCTCCAAAGGTCCTGGCTTTTGGCTGCTTTTATTGCTTTTTGTAGACTGTAATTCTTACTTGCATTCCTAGTTTCTGACCCGACAACTTTGGTTTTGTTATGTACTTTGTTGAGCTTGCCTTCCTAATTTCCTGTTTCCTCCATTGCCCTGGACTTGGCTATGTCTTCAGGCACTCAAAATGAACCATTCCACCCCTGATCCTGGCTCACCAAGTCGGAGCCTATAAATGATAAAAGCCCATTAGCCTGGTACCCACACGCATACCATTGATGTAGATATTTACAGATTTGCTGATCCAAAAACACTGTATTATTAAAAATGGCTAAGTTCCATGGAGTTCAATGATCACACTTAATACTATTAATTTGAACTTTTGAATGTCAATCATTAACAGTCAATTAAATTGACTTGGGTACATGTGCTTAGAAATCTCAAAATTCTAGTGTATGAATCTAGTAAAGAGCTAAATTACATAGGGAAATACCATGTTTTTAATGTTCTGGACTGAAGAAATATATGTACCATGTTTTAAAGTTTCAATTAGCAATCTCAAAGCTGCTTAACTGTTTATTTTGATATTTTCTTAGCTAAGAGTTTGGTTACAGGATTTCATTGGTAACTTATTTTTTTCTATAATATCCACATTAGATATTTTTCAAAGTTTTTTTAATTTTTCAATATTTTTTAAAAGAAAAATATTTAGATATATGCATTTGTTTTATAATTATATAATTTTGTGCTTTTTTGATCTACATTATTTAGGAAACCGAGTTTGGTACATTTAGATGTTGCTAACTGATAATAGTAACAATAAAAAATAGGAAGTAGCACTTACTTGTAGTAAAGAGACTTATATAACATTTAAATGAACTATATATTCATATATTATGTATATAGATGTTATTTTTAATCAGTATATTTATAAGTAAACATGAAATTTTATGAGTATTTCTACACTGTTTTAATGAATGAAATATAATCCTGTTTTTGGTTTGGGTGAGTGTGATTTTAACTATCATTGTTTATTTAATAATTCAAAATGAATGTGTATAGAATGTTGCTATTTTGGAAATCAAAATCAGATTTCTTAAATCACTTTTCCTCCTACCTGATTGCAAAGGGATTGTGCAATGTATTCTTAAGAAATATGAAAGTTGGAATTTTGTCCACTTTCCCTTAGACAAAGTATGCCTTTGTGATATTTGGAACTATCAATGTTTTACTTTTATAAACACAGGGAATGCCAGATGGAGTTCCTAAGAAAGCAAAGTAATAGTATTAATTTAAAAGAATTTATCTTAATTTCTAAATCTTTTGGTAAAACCAAATAGGGGTAAAATTTTGGGGCTGGCATTGTGGTGTAGCAGGTTAAGCCTCCACCTACAGTGCCGGCATCCCAAATGGGCATTGGTTGGAGTCTCTACTTATGATCCAGCTTCCTGATAATGTGCCTGGGAAGCAGTGGGAGATGTTCCAAGTGCTTGGGCCCATGAACCCCTCCTGGCTCCTGGATTCAGCTTGGCCCAGCCCTGGCCATTGTGGCCATTTGGGGAGTGCGCCAGTGTATAGATCTCTGTCTCTCTTCCTCTCTTTATAACTCTGCCTTTCAAATAAATAAAAAAATAAATTGTTAAAAAATTTAATATGTTGTAATAAAAAATAAATTATTGTTTTTGGTCGTTTTAAATCACACATACTCTAATGGGGGAAAGCCACACATGTTATCTATTGATGTTTTGTTGATGACAAGTTTGTGCTCTTGAATTTATCCTTAATCTCCTCTGTTGGTGATCCATAGCACTGAACTTCTGCCTACCTCACAGAAATAACAGGAATCTAAAACACTGGGTCGAGAGCACTTTGGCAGAACAGCACTTATGTTAACTCACATACTGTTACCTAATATTTCAATATATTGGGATTCAAAGTTTCAGACAAAAGTCACTTGCCAGTTTTTTAAAAGATGAACTCAATAATTTTCAGTGTCATGATGTAGAGGTAGTGTTTTCTCAAAAAAAATGTGTGCTATTTTCCTAAATTAGGATATATTTAGGAATCAACAGGATTATCCTAAGAGATAGAATATAAACTTTAAAGAAAGATCTAGATTAGTCATATTCACTGCATCAAGAAGTGAAAATTATATAAACAGAATATAAAAAAGCATAAGTTCACATTCATTTATTAGTTGCGCACATAGTCATTTTATCTCCAGACCAGTGGTTCTCAACAGGGGCAACTTGGCCTCTTAGAGGACATTTGAATATGTCTGGGGATATTTTTGGCTGTGACAACTGGCTAGTGGCAGTGCTACTGGAACCTAACAGGTAGAATTTATAGAAGATGCTAAACATCTTTGGGGGTGGGACAACTCACCTCCCCCAAAACAAAAACGTTATCCAGCTCAGGACATCAATAGTATAGAGTTGGAGAAACCCTGCCTGGAGACTGTGGTTGGTTTTGCTGAAGTCACACTGACAGGTTATGTTTCTTCAGTGCAATCTTGACTATTTGATCTGAATGTTTTCATCTACAGGTGAGGATGGAAATGCCACTAGCGTATGAACTGTTATGATGCAGAATAGTGGACCTATATTTTGACAGCATTATGAAAATATTGAAGACTCTGGAATTGTGAATAACTATGTAAACAAGGCATAGGATAGTTTAGGTTCTCCACTGGGTTTCTAATATTGACAAACATTGTGATGAAGTTAATGTTAAATATGTGAATGTAAAGATTTCTTAATTTTGTTATATTTATGAAAATTACAGAAAGTATAGTTTTTTCTTTAATAATCAAGTGTCCATGATGCAGATACATGGGAGGGGGTGGAATTCAGATGGAAGAAGTAACCCTTTGTATTGATTCTTATAGGAAATGCTGAGTTTTTTCATAAAGATTGTTGATAAAGATTCAATTAAATGCATAACAATTCAGTTACTGAAATTTCACTATATGCTTTTGTATTTAAGTTTTGTGCCCATTGCTTATGAAAAAGCTTGGGAGAGTTGAATATCATGGTGAAAAACTAATTTGATGGTTGTAAATATGATTTTGCAGTTGCAAACTCTTGGAAGATCAGTATCAAATTGAATATAATGAATTTCATCACCCTTTATGGAAAGAAATTTCTACCCTATTTACTACATAAATGACTCTTCCTAAATGCCATAGATAAGTGCTTATAAAAGTGTAAGCAAATTAATATGAGGAATTGTCATTGAAGAATATCTTATGTTTTAATAAGTTAAAACTGGATTTGAAAAAAGAAAGTACAAAATTAGGCATGAAAAATACCAACTTTCCTGCCTCAACTTAGATTTTAATTGAGGTAATTTTTACAAAGTTGGTGCAAACAATTGTTGATAATATCAGGACTTCAAAATTGAAACAGATTTTTTTTAAATTTATGTATTTGAAAGTCAGAGTTACACAGAGGCAGAGAGAGTGAGCGAGTGAGCAAGCATGAGCGCTTCCATCCACTGGTTCACTACCCAAATAGCTGCAACAGCAAGAGCAGGCCAATCTGAAGCCAGGAGCCACGAGGTTCTTCTGGGTCTCCCACATAGGTTCAGGGGCCCAAGTACTTTGGCCATTCTCTGCTGCTTTCCCAGGATCATAGCAGACAGCTGGATCAGAAGTGGGGCAGCTGGGACTGGAACCAGTACCTGTATAGGATACCAGTGTCACAGGCAGCAGCTTTTTTTTTTTAACTTTTATTTAGTAAATATAAATTTACAGAGTACAGCTTATGGATTACAATAGCTTTCCCTTCCCCCCCATAACTTCCCTCCTGCCCGCTACCCTCCCAACTCCCGCTCCCTCTCCCATTCCATTCACATCAAGATTCATTTTCAATTATCTTTATATACAGAAGATCAATTTAGTATATATTAAGTAAAGATTTCAACAGTTTGCACCCACACAGAACATAAAGTATAAAATACTGTTTGAGTACTAGTTATAGCATTAATTCACATTGGACAACACATTAAGGACAGAGATCCTACATGAGGAGTAAGTGCACAGTGACTCCTGTTGTTGACTTAACAATTGACACTCTTGTTTATGGTGTCAGTAATCTCCCCAGGCTCTAGTCATGAGTTGCCAAGGCTATGGAAGCCTTTTGAGTTTGCGGACTTTGATCTTATTTAGACAAGGTCGTAGTCAAAGTGGAAGCTCTCTCCTCCCTTCAGAGAAAGGTACCTCCTTCTTTGATGGCCTGTTTTTTCTACTGGGATCTCACTCGCAGAGATCTTTGATTTAGGTTCTCTCTCTCTCTCTCTCTCTCTTTTTTTTGCCAGAGTGTCTTGGCTTTCCATGCCTAAAATACTCTCATGGGCTCTTCAGCCAGATCTGAAAGACTTAAGGGCTGATTCTGAGGCCAGAGTGCTGTTTAGGATATCTGCCATTCTATGAGTCTGCTGTGTATCCCGCTCTCCATGTTGGATTGTTCTCTCCCTTTTTTATTCTATCAGTCAGTATTAGCAGACACTAGTCTTGTTTATGTGATCCCTTTGACTCTTAATCCTATCATGATCAGTTATGAACTGAAATTGATCACTTTGACTAGTGAGATGGCATTGGTACATGCCACCTTGATGGGATTGTATTGGAATCCCCTGGCACATTTCTAACTCTAACATTTGGGGAAAGTCTAATTGAGCATGTCCCAAATTGTACATCACCTCCCTCTCTTATTCCCACTCTTTTTTTTTTTTTTGACAGGCAGAGTGGACAGTGAGAGAGAGAGACAGAGAGAAAGGTCTTCCTTTGCTGTTGGTTCACCCTCCAATGGCCGCCGTGGCCAGTGCGCTGCGGCTGGCGCACCATGCTGATCCAATGGCAGGAGCCAGGTACTTATCCTGGTCTCCCATGGGGTGCAGGGCCCAAGTACTTGGGCCATCCTCCACTGCACTCCCGGGCCACAGCAGAGAGCCTGCCTGGAAGAGGGGCAACCGGGACAGTATCCGGCACCCCGACCGGGACTAGAACCCGGTCTGCTGGTGCCGCAAGGTGGAGGATTAGCCTAGTGAGCTGTGGCGCCAGCTTCCCACTCTTATATTTAACAGAGATCACTTTTCAGTTAAATTTAAACACCTAAGAATAATTGTTTGTTAATTACAGAATTCAACCAATAGTATAAAGTAGAACAAAAAAATACTAAAAGGGATAAAGCATTAAGTTGTACATCAACAGTCAGGACAAGGGCTGATCAAGTCACTGTTTCTCATAGTGTCCATTTCACTTCAACAGGTTTCCTTTTTGCTGCTCAGTTAGTTGTCACCGATCAGGGAGAACATATGATATTTGTCCCTCTGGGATGGGCTTATTTCACTCAGCATGTATTCCAGATTCCTCCATTTTGTTGCAAATGACCAGATTTCATTGTTTTTGACTGCTGTATAGTATTCTATAGAGTACATGTCCCATAATTTCCTTATCCAGTCTACTGTTGATGGGCATTTGGGTTGATTCCAGGTCTTAGCTATTGTGAATTGAGCTGCAATAAACATTAAGGTGCAGACAGCTTTTATGTTTGCCAATTTAATTTCCTTTGGGTAAATTCCAAGAAGTGGGATGGCTGGGTTGTATGGTAGGGTTATATTCAGGTTTCTGAGGAATCTCCAGACTGGCTTCCATAGTGGCTGTACCAGTTTGCATTCCCACCAAAAGTGGGTTAGTGTCCCTTTTTCACCGCATCATCACCAGCATCTGTTGTTGGTAGATTTCTGAATGTGAGTCATTCTAACCGGGGTGAGGTGAAACCTCATTGTGGTTTTGATTTGCATTTCCCTGATTGCTAGTGATCTTGAACACTTTTTCATGTGCCTGTTGGCCATTTGGATTTCCTCTTTTGAAAAATGTCTACTTAGGTCCTTGGCCCATCTCTTAAGTGGGTTGTTGGTTTTGTTGTTTTGGAGTTTCTTGATTTCTTTGTAGATTCTGGTTATCAACCCTTTATCAGTTGCATAGTTTGCAAATATTTTTTCCCATTCTGTCGGTTGCCTCTTCACTTTCCTGACTGTTTCTTTTGCAGTACAGAAACTTCTCAAATTGATGCAATTCCAAATGTTAATTTTGGCCTGATCTTCCGGGGTCTTTTCCAAGGAATCTTTGCCAGTACCTATATCTTGCAGGGTTTCTCCAATGTTCTCTAATAATTTGATGGTGTCGGGTCGTAGATTTAGGTCTTTAATCCATGTTGAGTGGATTTTTGTGTAAGGTGAAAAGTAGGGGTGTTGCTTCATGCTTTGCACATGGTAATACAGTTTTCCCAGCACTATTTATTGAATGGACTGTCCTTACTCCAGGGTTTGGTTTTGGATCCTTGTTCAAATATAAGTTGGTTGTAGATGTTTGGGTTGATTTCTGGTGTTTCTATTCTGTTCCATTGGTCTATCCATCTGTTTCTGTACCAGTACCATGCTGTTTTGATTACAACTGCACTGTAGTATGTCCTGAAATCTGGTATTGTGATGCCTCTGGCTTTGTTTCTGTTGTACAAGATTGCTTTAGCTATTTGAGGTCTCCTGTGTCTCCATATGAATTTCAGCATCATTTTTTCCAGATCTGAGAAGAATGACTTTGGTATTTTGATTGGTATTACATTGAATCTATAAATTGCTTTTGGGAGAATGGACATTTTGATGATGTTGATTTTTCCAATCCATGAGCGTGGAAGATTTTTCCATTTTTTGGTATCCTCTTCTATTTATTTCTTTAAGATTTTGTAATTCTCATTGTAGAGATCTTTAACGTCCTTGGTTAAGTTTATTCCAAGGTATTTGATTGTTTTTGTGGCTATTGTGAATGGGATTGATCTTAGAAGTTCTTTCTCAGCTGTGGCATTGACAGCCAGCAGCTTTATCCACTATACCACAGACTGGCCCTGAAACAGATGCTCTTAATCTCAGCATATTTTTTTTCTCTTGAAAAGATATCACTTTGAAATTTACACTTTATATCTCAAAATTATATTTTGTTTGTGGCATACAAAAGTAAGCAGACATCTAAGCTAAAGAAGTTAGGTATTGTATGGGAGGGAGAGATCCCTCTACCATACCCCAGTTCTTACATGGGCTCTTAGGCAGCATCTAGGAGCCAAATTAACACAAAAGCTGCACAAGATCATGAAGTCTGAAGAGAATGATCAGAGCGAGATGCTTCTATTCTTTTCAGCAATAAACTTGTGAAGGACTGGTGGGACAAATTCTAGGGGTGCCACTAATAGGAGTGGGGAGGTGTATAAAGGCTAGTGGAAGATAAGGGTTACTTCAATGAGCTTATTCAAGTTCTTTACAGTCCCAGTTACCAGTCTCTGCGGTTAAAGCTACTTTCCTACCTTGGTAGGTGAGGACACCCTCTGCAAAGAGCCTATACATCTTGCTGCATGAAAGAAAAGACAGATCAGATGACCTTTTCTGAACTTGTAGTTCCTTAAGTGATTTACCCTTGAAATAATCAATGTGTCAATTCAGCTTATTTTGAGATGGCACATCCTTAACTCATTTGGAACTAAACATGTCTGTGTTTACCCTCAGTCACCCAATTTGAAAAGGCATAACAGAAGAAGCAGGTGTCACGTTTCCACCTGGGCCAAAGGTTCCATTACCTATTCTGCCTATTGGTTATGAAAGTACTGGTGCATTAGGTACAATTGTTAAACATCCATTTGTGCTTGCATTCCATATTGGAGTCCCTGTTCTAGTCCAAGTTCTATTTATGATTCCAGCTTCTGATTCCATGCACTCCCTGGGAAAGCAGCAGATGATGGCTCATGTACATAGGTCCTGCTACCTATGTGGGAGACCCATATTGAGTTCTGGGATCCTAGCTTCAGTCTAGCTCAGTCCCAGCTGTTGGGGGCATTTAGGGAGATAAGAAGCAGATGGATGATTTCTCTCTCTCTCCCCTTCAAATCAATAAAAAAGTAATTTTTTTTTAAAAAAACAAAGTATGTATTGATTATTGGTTGAGCAAAATACAAATTATTCATGTAAAGAGACTTCTACATGACCTCTCAGTTTTTAAAAAAGATTTTATTTATTTATTTGAGAGGTAGAGTTACAGATAGTGAGAGGGAGAGACAGAGAGAAAGGTCTTCCTTCCGTTGGTTCACTCCCCAAATGACCGGGAAGAGGAGCAGCCGGGACTAGAACTGGAACCCATATGGGATGCTGATGCCACAGGCA